CCAACAATCACTCATCTTTGTCTCTGTCTGATGAACACAGGCAAGCATGCGCATGCGCGTCCCTTTACCAAGAGTCTTAAGTTATAAGAACTGTGAAATGCCTCTGTCCTACCACAATGCAGTGCTTGCCATTTCCTGCCCTTCCCTCAGAGGCAAGTTCTCTCACATGCTTAGCTTCCAACAAAACGGCATAAATAATTTAAGCCGCTATAAAGTGATACACGATCCAAAAGGATGGAAGGTTTAGAGACTGCCTGCTGGGAACCAGTGCTGGCACAAGTCTTCCACCCGCCCTGGATCCCAGGGGGTTTGGAAATGACTGAAACAAGGCTCCCGTCCGTGTTTCTTTATTATAACGAAATACTCCAAAGAGTAGCTTAGAACTGCAGATCCCTTGCTTAGTATTTGTGGAGCTTTGGGTTTTACCCCTAGTACTCAAAGTCAAAACAAATCAAAACAAACAAAAAAGCTCCTTCGATTTCTCAAGCTATTTTTAATCCATGACATCACCACTCCTCCTAATGAGAAATGGTTTGTGTCCTCCAATCTTTGCAACTAAGGCTGTCTGTGACTGCAGCAGTTCGAGGTTGTGGAGGTCACTGCAGGTCTGTTGGTTCAGAGCCAGATGGATGAAAGGAGGCCTTCGAGATCTCTCCAGCTCCAGCTCCCGTTAGACCACAAACACATACGTTCCCTCAGCGAGAACTTCCTAAGCTCAGTCAACTCAAACCATGGTTTATGGTGACAAAAATCACAGTTCCTGGCTAAAATGACAAAAGTTAGGTGATCTGTTTAAGAATGAGACTTAGGTCCCTAGAACTGGGCAATAAAACCTAATGTAGGTGACACTGGCTTGGGACCGAGAGGCAGACAAAGACAGGAACTGAAGCTTGTTTTGTTTGGGTTTGGGTATTTCCAGACAGGGTCTCAGGCAGCTCCAGATGGCCCTGGATTCTTTATGTAGCAGAGACTGTCCTTGAATGCCTGATCCTTCGGCCTCCACCTCGTAGCAGGTGATATTCCAGACATAAGCCGTCCAATGTTTAGCTTCTAATGCTGATACTTACTTTTCTATTTCCTTTGACATGGTCCCATGTAGCCCAGGCTGGTCTCATCTTGAACTAGCTATGTAGCCAAAGATGACCCTGAAGTCCCAGTCCTCCTACATTGACCCCGGCATGTTTGGACTAAGGTGCTTCCTTCCTTGTTCCTTTCATGCACTGATTGTAGTCAGATGCCTTCAGTCTGATAGCTTTCTGTCATTCAAGAACTATCGGCCCAAATTTATGTCTCCAGTCCAGACTTTCCTATACTGCAGACAGATGTCTAGAAGACTTTCCACTTTCTTTTTGACTTTTTTTTTTTGAGACAGGGTTTCTCTGTGGCTTTGGAGGCTGTCCTGAAACTAGCTCTTGTAGACAAGGCTGGTCCTTCAATGTCACATGACTTTCTTCCTGACCCCCAGTGCACTTCCTCGGATCATTCACAAATCTCAACTCCATAACTAAACCTACCCCAGAATCCAACCTCTCTCCTGGGTCCACTCCCACTGCTTGGTTCTGAGTCATTTGCAGTTGGCTAGCTCCTGGATTATGATCAGAGCGTCACAAATGCGCACTTTATCCTCTTGTCTTTTCTATTAATAGCTGCTGGAAGGGGAGGCCCGAGATGTAGCTCAGTTGGTAGAGCACTAGCTTAGCCTGGGATTTGATCGCCAGCACTGCACAGACCAGATAAGATGGTGTAAGCTTTCAACTCTCAAATTTGAGAGACGGAGGCAGGAGGATAAGAATTCCAGGGCATTCCCAGCTGAGTAGTGAGTTTGGGGCCAACATGGATCACACAAGACCATTTCAAACAAACAACGTTTGGAAAACAACAAAAAGCCCCGTTTAGGTGGGTTACAATACCTACGATTTCATTTCAGAATAGGAACAGCTTGGCATTAGCACCATGCTGGCTGTAAAAAATAAAGAGGAGTTGGAGAGATGGCTCAGTGACTAAGAATGTGTATTGTTATTATTCTTCCAGTGGACCCTGGTTCAATTCCCAGAACCCATGTCAGGTGGTTCACAACTGACTATAACTCCAGATCCAGGGGATCTACCAACTTTTTTTTTTTTTTTGGTTTTTGAGATAGGGTTTCTCTGTGGCTTTGGAGGCTGTCCTGGAACTAGCAGGGGATCCTACCAGGCTGGTCTTGAACTCACAGAGATCCGCCTGCCTCTGCCTCCCAAGTGCTGGGATTAAAGGCGTGCGCCACCACCGCTTGGCGGATCCTACCAACTTTCTAGCTTCCATGGGCACACACATGCATGTGATTCACGTAAACTCACAAAGACACACACATAAGCAATAAGTAAATAAATATTTGAAAATAATAGGGCAGACTGTCTGCCTAAGTGCTAAAATCTGTACGTTTGCATTAAAAAGTTCTTGGTGCTGGGCATGATAGCGTGCACCTTTAATCCTAGCACTTGGGAGGCAGAAACCAGCCTGGTTTAGAGTGAGTTCCAGGACAGCCGGTGCTGTTACACAGAGAAACCCTATCTTCAAATGCACCCCCTGCAAAGGAAAAAAAAATCAGCAGCAGCTCCAGGCACCTTTTGTCAAGCCCCAGCCTGGCTCATTCAGCCTCCTTCACCCTGCAGCAGAGGAGATTCTTAGCCTTTGAGCCATCTCTTAACCTTACATTTTCCACAGGCCATATCTGGCCTACCATAGTCCAGCTCGTGCTATAGAGGAAAACTCTGTCTCGAAAACAAACACAAAAAGAGACCATTAGGCTGAGGTTTGACCTCAAGGACAAAGCCCCTTCCACGACGCTCCGCCTTCTCCTTCGTTGGGAACTATTCTGAATACAGACCTTTCTTGTAACGCATCCCCCCATGCAGCAGGAAGGGTGACGATACCAGATGAAGGCAGATGTTCTAGATTTGTGTCTCAAGGCTCATTACACCATGTCCTAACTACGACTTCTGAGGATTAAATGAGTTCTGCACACCGAACGTATTCAAGAAACGCCAATCACCCGCCATCGGCTCATGAGTTCCCATAGCTGATACAAAGCTGGGCTGGGTTCCTCAATGAGGAACACTGGTGTGGTCCCTAACACCCAGACAGCTCCAGGGGATCCTACGCCCTCTTCTGGCTTCCGTGGGCACTGAACACATGTAGTGCAGGCAGTACACATAAACATAAAGACAAATGCTATCTTTTAAAAACGTAGCTAGAAGGTGCTCAGGTCACTTTAGGGGACGAACCAAGCAGCAGGGAATTCACTATTCAACGTGCTAAGGCCAAAGCAAACTAGAGAGGCTAGGGATGTCGCTCAGCTGGGTGCTAAGTGCCCACCTAGCACGTGTGTCCCGAGTGGGAGCTTCAGCGTCACCAGGAAGGCAGAAAAGGTTTTCTATCCAGTCCCTTTTAGAACCCACACAACAGTGACTCACAGAATGAGCCTGATGTGTGTTCTTCCTCCTTTTTCTCCAATTAAAAAAAAAAGCCACCAAACAGCTCCCCCTGAGGCAAGGAGATTGGCTACATCCTTGCCCCGCCTCCCATAACATTGACGGAACCAAAACAGCACCTCCTAGGGGTGGAAAGGAGAAGAGCAATCTACAGCTGTGAAACCAACATTAGGCATGGTTCTAATATAAACACAGTCACTTGTGGATAACAAGGCTCGAAAAAAGCAAACAGAACAGAATCACCTGAATGGTGGGATCACAGGTAATTTTCTTTTGTTTGTATTGTCTAACTAATGAATTTTTTTAAGATACTGGAGATAATTGATCCAGATGTTCACACATGCTTGGCAGATCCCTTTTTTTTTTTTTTTTGGCAGATCCCTTCTGAGCTACATCCTCACCCAAATTGATGGGGGAGGGAGAAGCGAGTCTAACGAGCTCAAGAGGAGTAGGCGTTAAGGTAGTGAATGGCATGGGCCCTTGAGCGCGGGGACCTGATAGCTGACAATGGGCAAGGTACCTAATCCACTCTGCGGCACTATTCTGACCTCTTGAAAACAGCCAAACAAGCCAGAGAAAACAGGGAGTTCTATCTCCCTGAGGCTGTCACTACAGATACAAAGGCTTTCGCCCAGTGGCACAGCACGGGCTGTGCAGGGAGTGCCACCGAAGTGCCTCCTGTGGCTGGTGTCATCACTGCCGTGCTGGTAGGAATGACTTTTCAAACTGGAGTACTGGCGTTCGGAACGGGTGGGACCTGATTAAGAATGCTGGCCCTGGCCGCCGAGATCTCTGAAGCACCATGAGAGACAGGCAGAGGGCAGAGTATGACAGAGCTGAGGCCCTTCGAACCAGCAGAGAGTGAGGAGAGAACCCAGTGCTGCATCAAGGCAATGAGGAAGATTTTAAAGTAAACATTTCTTACCTTTACTTACTGTCTGTATGGTAGGGGTGTGCTTCGGCATGCGTGTGGGACAGAGGACAACTCGTGGGCATCAGTGCTCTCCTACCAGCAAATGGGTCCCAGGGATCAAACTCAGTCAGGGCAGCAAGTGAGTGAGTGCCTTTATCCCCAAACCATCTCAGGCCCAGAATGTTTTATCTTGTGTCAATTCCTGATGGGCTCCAGAAAGTTCTCCAGGGCACACCCACTTGGTTCTTGTTTGCCCTCATTCCTTTATTGTGTGTGCCCCAGTGCCCCTGGGGGTCAGATGTCCCTGGAACTAGAGTTCCAGGCAGTGTGAGCTGTAGGTGCTGGGAACCAGGCTGCCTCTGTAAGAGTAAAAAACAATTGTCTAACTGCTGAGCCATCTCTTCTGACTCATAAATTTAATTTTTGGTTTTTCAAGACAGGGTTTCTCTGTGGCTTTGGAGCCTGTCCTGAAACTCGATATGTAGACCAGGCTAGCCTCGAACCCAGAGATCCTCCCGCCTCTTCCATGAGAGTCCTGGGACTAAAAGTGTGCGCCACCACGCCCAACCTCTCCCCACCCATTTCCTTCCACAAAAAGACGACGCACAGAGGACTCCTTCCGAATGGGCATCACCGTTTATTGGAGTTTGTGTTGGGAACTGAACAGAGCACATTGTCTGTGGAGAAGAGGAGAAAGGGGAAGAAAAGAAAGTATGTTTCTAAAGATTTCATTTCCTTAAAACACTTTATGGTTTCAAATCCTTTTTGTTACTCCAAAGGAAATCCAAAGAATTCAAGTATGTTGCGTAGGGAGCGCTAATACAAAGGGTGTGGTGGCATTTGTCCAGGCATGGAAACAAGTAGACAGATTTCCACATTTCTCGTACTCCCCCCCCCCTTCCCCTTTTTTTTACTTTGGTAAGGCCAAACCCCAAAAGGACACAGCATACAAATGACCCCAAGGTTGAGGAATCTATTTACCCTCAGAGGATATTGGTATAGTTTTTGGAACTATCACATAGGATGAAAAAACAAAAAAACAAAAAACACAGCACAGCCCTCACCTCCCCAAACCCACCAGTCAGTCTCACAAGTCCCGATCACTTCAGCCGTCCTGTTGCTGCACCTGGTCTTCAAGATCTTAATCCAGGGCTCAGTAGAAGGGCCAGGCAACAGGGCTCTCTTCATTGTATTTATAATAAAAAAAAATTTCAAAGGGCTATTTCAAAAGAAAAAAAAAAGCTGAAATTCAAATTCTGAAAATATCTTGCCTTTTTTATTAATCATGTCATCTAACACCAATTAAAAAAACAAGTATGTGAATATGATATAAAAATACGATCCCAAGATTAACACTTTGTCGCAGGCACAGTTATCTCACAGAATACATGTTTGGAGGGCCGGGAAAGGAGTCTGGTTCTGTTTCTCTTTAAAAAACCCACAGCAGTGCAGGGGTGAGGAAGGGGGAGATTCTTTAGCAGCAAAATGTCCGAGTTCTCTAGTCACATCGAAAAAACGAAACGAAACGAAAGCTCAGGGGATGCTGCCCAGACCCACTGCCGTCACTACAGACTTGCGTTGCCACAGCCCCAGGATGTGACAGGCGAAGGACGGCTTTACTACACAAGCAATCGTAAAACTCGTCCCTCAAGCTTTTGACTGTTTGTCACTTAAATATATGTACAGCATTCGGGCTCCTCTTCTCATCGTGTCCCTCAGATCTCTACGGTTTGGTCACTTGGGGTGGGCTCTCGGGATCTGGCCACATCTGGTTGCAGGTTTGAGCAGCAGATTCGAGATGGATGCTGCTTCGGCCTGGCTGGCTGGCTGGCGTGGCTGTTTCTAGCAGAGACGTGCAATGGGGGACAGCTTAGTGGTCACTGCTCTGCTTCTCTCTCATCCATGCCTGAATCTGCTCCTTCAGCTCTGGCACTGAGGGGAAAAGACAGGGATTAATGGCCCAGACGGGCAGGTTCCTCGACTTGAAACTCTGTCTAAGTGGGAAGAAAAGGCCATTCATTCTCTCTGCGCACTGAGGACTGTGGAAGCAGCAGCCAGAGAGGGCGGCATTTACAGCAAAGGCGAGCTGAGTGCTTTGTGTCTTTTCCATAAAAAGAGCTTCCACTGGGTACTTTCTGGATTCAAGTCCCTGTTTTTGATGGTGGTGCTGGGGACTGAGCCGGGGGACGTACACGCTGGCAGGGAGCCGGGACTCCAGGTGGCAGCGCACCGGCTTGCCCCCAGTCTCCCTCCTGCTCTGCTGCACACACTGGAGTCAGTGCTGCAAGGCAGGCTGAGCCTCCTACCTGGTTCAAGCATGCTCTCAGTCAACATCTGGCGGTTGAAGGGGTCAGTGGGCGAGTTCAGCAGATGCCGCAGGATGATGGAGCGGTCCATTACCGTGCCAGAGGGCAGCCTCACTGGGTCAGTCATCAGGGTGTCCATCAGAGGGTCTACAGAGAGAGACAAGGCAGAGCAAATTAACCCAGTGGTGGAGGCTGACAGTAGAGCAGCACACTATTCCCACCAGGGAGACAGCCAGGGGAGCTGGGGACAGCCCCGCAGGCCCCGGCATCTGGGGGGAAAGCAGCTCACGATGAAAGCATGCACCTTGCTTTCTGCCACTGCGAGGAGAAAACAGCAAAGATGGACAGCCAGGCAGCAGGCCCCTGGGACAGGACCCTTTGCCTGAGAACAAGGCTCTTCCCTTTACAGAAGTAGAACTCCTTTAAAGTCTTCATGGCTATCTGGTGAAATCACACCAAGGATGTTCATCCTTTTAATCTACAACATGATCTAAAATTTGTAAAAACAGTTTTAGAAAACTCTCAAGAAACATCCACAGTACACCAAACCATCAACACATTGTTGGGGCTTTCGAGGAGAATGGCCCCCATGGGCTCATCTGTTTGAATGCATGGTTCCCAGTTAGACCTGTTTGGAAAGATGAGGAAACCTAGGCCGGGCGTTGGTGGCCCACGCCTTTAATCCCAGCACTCGGGAGGCAGAGGCAGGCGGATCTCTGTGAGTTCGAAGCCAACCTGGTCTACAGAGCGAGTTCCAGGACAGCCTCCAAAACTACACAGAGAAACCCTGTCTCAAAAAACCAAAAAAAAAAAAAAAAAAAAAAAGGATGAGGAAACCTAAGTAAGCCCCCAATTAAACACTTTCTTGGGGTCAGGCAGTGGTAACACATACCTTTAATCCCAACACTCAGGAGCAGGGGGATCTCTTTAAGAGTTCGAGGCCTCCCTGGTCTACAGAGTGAGTTCTAGGACAGCCAGGGCTACACAGAGAAACCATCTCAAAAAACCAAAAAGAAAAAAAAGGATTGCCTTGGTCACAGTGTCCCTTCACAGCAGTAGAGCAGTGACTAAGGCAGCCCTCCTGATGTCACACACTTCAAATGACACCGAAGATGAGAACATGAGCACACAAACTTGCCTCTAAACTCATCCGGGGCATCGCTGTAGTCAATTTCTGCCCGTGCATTCTTGGCCACTATTTCCTCCACTTTCTCAGCAAGAAGCTTAAATTTCTCTATTGCAATAGTGGATTTGATTCCTGCCTTCCGCATCTTTGAAATGACTTCTTCAAACAGTTCCTTGCTGTAGGATCTCTGTGGATGAGGAAAGTGAGATGAGAATATATGAGAAGAAAAATGTCCAAGTACAACTCATATGATCTTCTGCTCCTAAAAATTATATTATAAATTCTGCAGTCATGTCTTTCCCTTACACAGTGCCGTCTGCAAGGGTGTACTGAATATAGCTAAAAATGCATACAGAATGACACGTGCCAACTGTTCAGGGTCATCTATGGAGAGGGCTGCAGGACCCAGAAAAATTGGAATTTTAAGACTCTGGCATCCAACAACCATTTAGTTTAAAATTTAGCCACTAAGATGAGAAAGAAACCTAGTTTGTTTAAATCTTAGTGGGGCACTGTTCCCAGAGCCCATGAAAGAGGATAAACTCCAGTTTCCTCACATGATGGTGAGCCCAGATAAAAATCACACAGGCCACTGCCCCACCCCACCATTGCTCACGGAGTTGCTTTGTTGTAGTCACTGTGGATTCCCAGGCTCACTTAAGCCTGGCACGGTTGCCTCACTCAAGGGAATGAGTCAAATGGCGAGGCCCTATCTCAACAGATTGCACTAACAAACAAAAACCTAGGAAAACCAAATAACCACCAAGCACAAAAGCACACCCATCACTGACTCCAACCCTGCTTAATGCCAGATTTCTACAGCACTGAACTACAGCACCACAGAGCAGGTGAGGGCTTGGGAGCAAACACATGTGTAACGGAAGTGGGAAACGCGGACAATCACCAGTTCAGGAAAGCCCGAACCTGCCCAAGCCAGATTCCTCAGGTGTGAGGAATGGACAGGGAGTGACTTACCTCTGAGGGACCTAGTATGTATAAAACACTGATACCACAAAACATACAAGTGTAGCATGTTTTACAGTGGCCATTGGCTGACTTAGGACAGGACACAATCTCTAATCACATAGGGCAAGTGATGACACAGGAAGGAGCTGTGTGCCAGACAACCCCATGCCACCTTCCCCAGATGGCCTTCCCTACTCCTCAGTGAAGAGCCACGGGCCAGCCTGGCTTGCAGGAGCTTCTGCTTCCCTTGGGGGGGGGGGGGGGGGGCACGGGACATGACTGTCCTGGACCTCCTGCTCATGGTGTGAACTGAGCAGCATCTCCACCGACAGCTACACTGGAGTCATCACACAGCTGCCCTTCCCTCCAGGACTGGACTGAACTCCTTCCTGTCTGTCTTCTCTGACTCTCAGAGATCTACCTACCCCTGCCTCCCTGTGTTTCTTCATGACTGCACACGCTCGCTGTCTCTGCACACCCACCCTTCCCTCCACTCACCACCCCTGCAGCCCCAGCACTGGGGGAAGCAGCAGCTACACAGACAGACCGTGTCCCAAGAGAACAACAAACAGCACCAACACGTGAAGTACAGCGCAAGAAGGGCATTATTAAAACGACAAAAACAAAAGGTAGTGGGTGTAAGGTAGCACTCACTTGTGATTCTAACACTCAGAAGGCTGACACTGGAGGATCTGGGTTCAAAGCCAACCTGCCTCAAAGACTTACAAAAATAGAAGTATATACAATCCTTGTATTTTAGTATCACTCCTTTGGATGTGATACAGGTAGAGAAATTTTTAGAATGTGTAAAGATGGGTAACATGGTGTGAATCATACTGGGATATTTTATGTGCTCACAGATAGACTTGGGAACCAACATCCCAGCTTCTGGGCTTTAGATAGGTAGGAAGAATATGGATACAGGGCCAGACTGCTGGCCACACGGCCCCTCTACTCCATGCTCTGTGCTCCTCTGTCTGTTTTACAACAGAGAATTTGGTAGAAGTGATGCACGGCTAATAAACAGGAGTTGCTACTATGTGGAAGATGTCCCAGATGCCAGCAGTTCAAGGCCAGCCTAGTCTACATGAGTCCTTATCTCAAAAGACCTGGGATAAAACAGAAGCAAGACCAGAGACTACAGAGAGGGAGGAGCCCTTTGTTTTCCTGTTTAACAACTCTCAGGCTGGACCAAGGACTGGGTGGAGGCTTCGCTCATTCAGGTGCATTCCCAGCTCAACTTTATGTTCAGAGATGGTTTCAGCTGGGCACACACCTTTAATCTCAGCACTCGGATCTCTGTGAGTTCGAGGCCAGCCTGGTCTACAGAGTGCCAGGACAGGCTCCAAAGCAATACAGAGAAAAGGTAAGTTCCACTTTTCCTGCGCAGCTAAGTGACAGGATCAGGCCCCTGTGAAGGGCCTCCCTTAGCTCTCACCTGGTCATCAGCGATGGCTTTAGCAAAGCGAGCACAGTCCAGCTGCAGGTAAATATCCGTCAGTTGGTCCAATAGCTTCTTTGGCTCAAAACCGTACTTCTCAGGGTTTTCGACCTTCAGATCTCGGCACTTGGGTCCACACAGCTGCTGTAGGTTAAAGTTCAGCATGGCTGCTAGTCGTGGTCCAAGTTCCTAGGAAATGACAGGATAACAGGACAGTTCAAGCTGCTGAGAATGTTGGGGACCAGAAACTCCCATCTCATTGGAGGAACAGGAATTGGCTGGTTTAGTCTTCCGACATCCCTTAAATGTTCTGAGCAGCATAAGCTAAAGGAAGCTGGCATTGTAATCAAACTTTTTTCACCACCATTTCTTATCTGAAGACCCTTAAAACAGAATGGTATAAAATGTATATGAATGAAAGTCCATGAAACTCTTCTGTAAACACAAAAACTTTTTTTGTTGTTGTTGTTTTTTCAAGACAGGGTTTCTCTGTGGCTGTGAAGGCTGTCCTGGAACTAGCTCTTGTAGACCAGGCTGGTCTTGAACTCACAGAGATCTGCCTGCCTCTGTCTCCCAAGTGCTGGGATTAAAGGCATGCGCTACCAACTCCCAGCTGACAAATATTTTTTTTTTCTTAAGACCTATCACGTCTTTCTTTTTTTTTATTGTTTAACTTTTTCTCTTATGTGCATTGGTGTGAAGGTGTCAGACTCCCTGGAACTGGAGTTACAGACAGCAGGGAGCTGCCATGTGGGCACTGGAAATTGAACCCGGGTCTTCTGGAAGAGCAGTCAGTGCCCTTAACCACTGAGCCACCTTTTCAGCCCGACAAATACTTTTTTTAAAAGGTATTTTATTTATTTTTATGTGTACATTTATCTGTGTGAGTGTGTCAGATCACCTGGAACTGAAGAGCTGCCCTATGGGTGCTGGGAATATATTTAAAAAATAATTTATTTAACTTTATTTTATGTGCATCCCTGTAAAGGTGTCAGATTCCCCAGTACTAGTTATAGACAGTTGTGAGCTGCCCTGTGGATGCTGGGAATATATTTAAAAAATAATTTATTTAACTTTATTTTATGTGCATCCCTGTAAAGGTGTCAGATTCCCCAGTACTAGTTATAGACAGTTGTGAGCTGCCCTGTGGGTGCTGGGAGAATTGAACCTGGGTCCATGGAAGAGGAGCCAATGCTCTTAACCACTGAGTTGTCTCTCTGGCCCCAAGGTACACACTTTAAATTATGAGCATCACTCCATATTCAGTCAGAGAGGTAAAGGAAGGAAGATCACCCACAATGCTGTCACTCTGCACTTATGAAGCATTAGTTCACAATGGTCCTATAAACTTCAAAAGTCCCCGACATTCAACTATATGCCAGTCTCTCTCTCTTTTTAAAGATTTATTTATTTTATTATGTATACAGTGTTCTGTCTTTATGCGTGCAGGCTAGAAGAGGGCACCAGATCTCATTACAGATGGCTGGGGGCTACCATGTGGTTGCTGGGAACTGAACTCAGGACCTGTGGAGGAGCAGTCAGTGCTCTTAACCTCTGAGCCATCTCTCCAGTCCCAATGCCATTCTTATTTATTGCTGAAGAGAGCTCCAGAAGAAGGAGGTAATGTTTGTCAAGAGTTTCAAGTCTGGGGGCTGGAGAGATGGCTCAGAGGCTAAGAGCAGTGGCTGCTCTTCCAGAGGTCCTGAGTTCAATTCCCAGCAACCACATGGTGGCTCACAACCATCTGTAATGAGATCTGGTGCCCTCCTCTGACATGCAGGGATACATGCAGACAAAACACTGTATACATAATAAATAAATAAATCTTAAAAGTTTCAAGTCTGGTCGGTGTGTTGAATTACACAGCCAGAAAAATCAGGACAAAAGAAGACCAGAGACCCACAGGACAACAGTCTGCTACAGCTGGGCAGACACGGCTTCTGAGCTCAGAGAAAAGCTGCTGTGGTCAGGGAGTAAACATTGACCAAGAAAGAGTCTTTAAATAACGGGGTTCTCATGAAATGACTGGACTTACACAAATCTGATGAGACACACAGCACTCCAGAGCCTCCTGGTCTACAGAGCACAGCTACAGTCCAGTGTGGAGAAACCGGGACTGAAGCTGTTAGAGCTGCTGGGTTTCTCTGCTGTAAGAAGTGCTTAATCCAGCCAGTAAAGAAGGTACAAATAAAGACTGAAGATGGCTCTTAAAGAGGACAGAAATTCAGTTTCCAGAACTCACATCAGGGAACTCAAAACTGCCAGTAACTGAAGCTGCAGGGGCTCTGACGCCCTCTTCTGACCTCCAGAGGCACTGGCAAACAATGCATGGTAACCTGCCGTACATCAACTACACCACACCCACACATCAGTAAAATCAAATCTTAAAAACCAGAGAGAGCAGCCTGCTCTACAGAGATAGTTCCAGGACAGCCACCAAATTTTGTCTGAATGCAGTGATTCTTTTGTAAATAAAGCTTTATTGGAAAACAGCTAGGCTTGTGTATGTCCAGGCTGTTAACATGAGCACAGCTGGAGAATTGCCCAAGACAAGCAGTCTGCAGCAACCTTAGAGGACTTACTCTCTGGTCTGTGTAGGAAATCCCCTTTGACACCCTCCAGGGAAGCAGGTATGTGCACGGTGAGCTGTTTCTCCCCTGCTTCCCTGCTACTGTGTGGAAGTCTGCTTATCAGGAGACAGGAAAAGACCCAGGTCGCAGGCTGTGGACAGGCCACTGTGTTACAATGCCTCTGCTGGAGGCAACACAGTGAGTCGTGTGACGGGGCAAAGAAGAAACGTGGAGAACTGGAGGAAACACACAGCAGAGCTCCACATGTGCAAACAGCCGCTGACAGACCTTGGCTCCCTCTGACTTGCGGTCTCCCCTTGGACTGCCACACCACAAAGCTTCTCACTGGGGCGGTCACAAGCAAGGTCTCTCAGGGTATCCTGATGTTTCAACCTCAGTAACAGGACCCAGTCTTGGCAATCAGGTCAAACAATGAGCCTGCCGTTAGCCTCAATCATGGCCTTCAGCTTCCTCAATGTTACAGAGCCGCTTTAAAAGCAGTAAAGACCTTTTTACCAATCACTCTACTTAAGTGTCCTCCAAATTGGCATGTTACCTTACATTTTTCCAATACATAAAACACAGAAATCAGTAACAATGATGTCACAAATCCATAACCCAGATGTGCTATGTAAACAGAAAACAGAAAGCCATCTAGAGTGAGCATTTTAGACTACACGTCAAGAGGCTTCATTTCAGACGGGTAGAGTACCATGTCATGTGTCTTAATTGATATACCTAGGAACAAAACCAAACTAGAAAGAATTTCACTACTGACCACTGTGGTTAAAGCGCTCAGCTGTGCTGAGTTTTAAGTGCTGCCTCTGCCATCCCAAGATAACACGAGCACCCCACTTTCTACTCACTGGCCGGAGGAAGGGCTTCTGGACTTGCTTGGTGAGGAGATGGAACATGTCCACGGTTTCCGTTGCCAGGGCGAGATAAGAGCGTGAGACACGCTCATCCTGAGAAAGCTGAGACTGCCGGGCCTGCTGCTGATCCTAGGAGACATCAAGTGACAGTTGCCACGGAATCTCAGTACCAGCCACCCACTCAGAAAAATACCAGCACGAAGGACGAGCTCGGCCGCCTTACAGCTGCAGTGTGATAAAGCCACACCGGAGGAAACAAACAAACCGGCACTCTGTCCTGACAGCCTTCCAGGACATGTCTTCTGGCGGCCTTGGATCACACCCAGGACCTATGCATGCTAAGCACAGGCTCCACCACTGACCTACACCCACAGGCCTGGCCATCCTGACCTCTCATGAGAACACACGCTCGAGCTATAGAGGGGGTTCATTACTCTTAAAAACAACTTTCACTTAGTCATCAACATTAACAAAAAACATAGCCAGGAGGAGGTGGAGCACACGGGAGGCAGAGGCAGAGGAACCTCTGAGTTCGAGGCCAGCCTGTCTCGAAAAATGAGACAAGGAGAGGGAGAGAGGGAGGGAGGGAGGGAGGGAGGGAGGGAGGGAGGGAGGGAGGGAGGGAGGGAGGGAGGGAGAGGGGCACACACTAGGCTTGGAGAAATGGCAAGGTGGTTAAGAACACTGGCTGCTTAATCCCAGCACTTGGGAGGCAGAGGCAGGTGGATCTCTGTAAGTTTGAGGCCGGGCTGGACCGATAGCCTCCAAAACAATACAGAGAAACCCTGTCTCGTAAAAACCAAAAACAAATGTGCAGCTTGGGTAGAAAGGCCGCACACACCCCTAATGACCTTCCTGCCTCTATAATCTGAGTATTGCAGTTAGGGGGCATACAACCACACCCAGCTTATAGGATGCTAGGGTTTGAACCCAGAGCTTCATGTATGCAGGACAAGCATTCTACCAATGAAAGCTTTAGCCCATGGAGATAAAAAGGCAGTCACAAGATGGGGAGAGGGCATAGAAGAATCAAGGACAATCCGGCTACCATAGAATGAAGCTGCCATTTATTATGGTTGTTGATTGTGACTCAGAGGATTTAAAGGACACGGCAGACAACTCAGGATGAAGACAGTAACAAGACAGCCAAAAGGCAAAGCAAGCCAGCACTGCTCAGAGGTCTGTAGGCAGACATGCTCTCAGCCACGGAGCTATATTTTACAGTCTTTAAAATACAGATATTTAAAGCCCTGGAAAAGATGAGATCACCTGGCAGTGATTTCCAGTAGAGACATCAGAGAATGTGGAGCAGTATATTTGGCTGTGTGAGGAGTGGGGGGTAGGTGTGTGTGTGGGGGGGGGTTGGGTGTGATCTCGATGGAGACATGCTAACACGGGCAGACACATCACTGGTGTTAAATGAACACAGTGTCAGGCAGTTTCTTGTCACAGAGCTTGCTAAGACATCAGACATCATGGCTTCAATACATTTCAGCACTGAGAAGCACTGCCTGGGGCAGGGATGCAAACCACTTAGAAGAAACAAGGGAGTGAGCTCTGAAGCTACCACTGCTCAGAGGCTGGGGGATGGGGAAGTGAAAGGCAGCCAGCAACCTCAGGGTCAAGGGTCAAGAAAAAGTTTGTGAAAAGACACCTTAGAGATCATTTGTGCCTTAAAAAATCCTTTAAGAGAAGAATCAATAGTATTTATTTGTTGTCTCAAACAAACGCACTAACTGGACAAAGTGAATGTACTTCAGGCCTGAGCCCAACTTTAAGAGATTAGCGGTCTCCACGGGAGGAGGGCTTACAAGCACTGAAGAGGAGCAGCAGAGTGAGGTGGGGTGTGCAGGACACTGGCTAGGAACAGCCAACCATTCGGCAGGGTTTGGACAGAGTGGGGAGCAGTCTCACAGATAAACTAAGGATAGGATGCATGCTGTCTGGAAAGACCAAGGGAGGCCGAGTCTGTCCTGGCTACTGCTCACAGTGTACCTGCAGGCCACAGACCCAGTCCGCCATGGACACAAGAGCTGAGCCTCTTTTGGCTTTGCCTTGTCTGCTTCCTCAGCATGGTTCCAACAGTCTGGAGACTGACTGGAGCTGGGGCTTCAAGAATTCCCTAGAGTCACACTAGGAAGGTGTGGGGCAGCAGGCCTGTGTAGATTCTACCCCAAGAGAAGAGTGTTTAGAAGTGGGTCAGCAGTCAATGGGCAGGAGACACATGGGACAAACATGGTCCAGTGGAAAAACAGCATCAGGGGCAAGGGCTGTGGGGACACGGATACCGGGAGACAGGCATCCACGGAGCCCTGGGCAGAACCACGTGGAAGGAACAAGATCTGAAATTCCCACCATAGCTGCAGGGATGAAAACCTTCCCTGACCTGGGATGACAGCACACACCTTAACATTAGCCATTAGAGAGGCAGGCAAGTGCACTTCTGTGAGTTCCAGGCCAGGCCAACCAGGCAGGGACCAGGGTCATGGGGGGGGGTGTGCAGAGAGAGAGGGGGAGAGAGAGAGACAGAGACAGGTTTCCATAAATGTCCTTCAGTGGCCTACAGTGGTAATGCTTTGGACTCTATAACAGGACGTCAAAACTGTCACTGTGAGCTCAGGCCCCCACAGGTCTCTCAAAGGGACGGAATCCCGTGGAAAGTGGCTTTGACTCTGAGCCAATCCATCTATGACATTCTCGGGAGTTGTCAGGCCTACTAGGTGTCAGAAGAGGGATTGTCACTGGTACAGCATGAATTTCTCATGGAACCTGGCAACTAGGCCTTTTTATTAATAGTAACTGAACGTGAAAGCAAAGATCAACAAAAAAGAAAAAGCCCCAAGAGAATCCTAGGAGATTCTCAAATGTGTACAGAAACCCAAAACAAGGCCAATTTTCCCAATAGACAGAAGCCTGGAGATTATTTCCTGGCTACCACACAAGTCAAAAGCCATAATATATACAATTAAACATTTCTCTACACAGCCCTTTACATTAAAAGGCAGGGAAGTGTCCATGACACATTGGGAAAGGCTCCTCATTTCTTGGACTTAAGATTTTATTTTAAAAATATTTTGGTGGGAGTTTTAGAATCTAGAATGTTCCCACAGGGTAAGCCTGTGTCCTACCTCTGAGTTTTACCTTCACCCTTTGATAGCATGTATATATTGACACGTATATAAATCTGTTTTTATTTACACGAATACGTGTTTGCCTGCGTTTATGTGTGTTTCGTATGTGTAGGAGTCCCAGGAAGCCAGACGCTCAGAGCCTCCGAACTGACTTAAAGGCATTTGTGAGCTGCCTGGTGAAGGTGTCGGGAACTGAACCTTGGTCTTCTGGAAGAGCAGTAAGTACTCTTAGGCGATGAGCCATCGTTCCACTTCTCACACTAGATTACTTCTGACAATGAGAATCTGGCTTTGAGGAAAGGCCCGACAGCCACTCTTTTTTTTTTTTTTTTTGGTTTTTCGAGACAGGGTTTCTCTGTAGCTTTGGAGGCTGTCCTGGAACTCACTTTGTAGACCAGGCTGGCCTCGAACTCACAGAGATCCGCCTGCCTCTGCCTCCAGAGTGCTGGGATTAAAGGCGTGCGCCACCAACGCCCGGCCTGACAGCCACTCTTACTATGGTAGGGAACATTCTTGCCTGAAACTCAAAGCAGAGCGTGAGCTTTCTTTCTGGGGCTTGGGGGACAGAACTGGGGATCAAATGCAGGACCTAAGGCACGCTAGACAATCACCCTACCACTGAGCCACAGCCTCCACCCCAATTCTTAGCTTCTGATAAAAACCTTTAAGCGGCTGTCTCCTATCTCAAACCTGAAAAGTTACTTCGCAGCCGCCTACAGGTAGGAATGTCCCAGCAATGAGTCAGATCCAGCGTCTCCAGGTAGCCCCGTGGGTGCAGCCCGGAGGCGGTCCCCAGGCAGACGCTCACCCTCGGCAACTGGTCCCACTGCTCTTTGTTCTTCATTTCTTCCTGCACTTCATGGATGCGCTTCAGGGACTCCAGACTCTCATCCAGCAAAAAGGTCGTGTCATTTATCAGCATATTGATGTAGCGGACAAACTGCTTTCCAGAACTGAAAGGGCAATGACACTGTGTGGTTACACGTTTGGCTGGTCAATGAGAAAGTGAGCTTCTGCCCAGTACCAACCAGACGGCCTGGGAGACTGCAGACCCTGGCGCCTACACCGGGGTTTAAGGACAACCATATCAACTCTGCTTAGATTTTTGTTGCTATGTTGCTTTGTTTTGTGAAGGGTCTATGTAGCCCAGGCTGATCTCAAAGTACTCTCCTGCCTCAGTATCACGGAGTTAGGACAACAGACATGGGCCAAGCTCCAGCCCTACTATTCTTTTAATTCACTGTGATAAGCTCCTTCTAGTGGCAGGCTGAACCAGCCCTGGATGGCTGGAATGAACCAACTGCTAGATATGCCAGCATGTTCTGAGCTGATTTCCCTGGCAGTTTGTATTTGGCAACAATTTATACAGTTACACTACTGAAAAGTAGCAGATGTTGAAATTGCTCCCCCTGGAGGAGGCTCCCAGCACAGCACTGGCTCCACTCAGGGTTTTAGTGGAGGACACACTCTTCCAGGCTGGAAAGGGAATGAGCTTGACTCAGCGTGACAAAGCCAGCACAAACAATTACCCAAATACATAAGACAAGGAAGTACTGGTAAAGTTACTCCTTATCACAAAGAAGATTCACTGAAGAAAAACAGGTTCTGTAACATCGATAAAGGAAGACACATTCCATAGAAGCCAAAGCTTCAGGTCCAAGGGGTCCCCGCCGACTACACTGTAATGATCAGAGACAGATGTATGGAACAGCCCAGTGTACCGTTACATTATGAAACTGACAAATTGGTGGCAAAAGAGAAGGCCCAGGTGTACTCAGGGGTAGAAAGCACAAGCTGGCACATAAAGAGTTATTAACAAGGCTTGGCACCTGAGCACACCCAATCAACATTACTGGCAACCTTAACCTAAGTGCTTCTAAATCTTGTTTTCTCAACATTTCTGGGTCAATCTGATAGCATCATTCATTTAACAGCATCACCTCATATGTGCATTTCCCAGGAACATTCCCTCACATAAGTCATGCCTGGAGCTGATAACTCTAAGTAAGCAGGTAATCACATAAGTGGCCACAGCGAGCGGCTCCTTATGGGAGCTGAAACCAAGAAAACCACCGCAGGAACCTCTGCCAAAGCTTCTAGCAGTTTCCCATGTCATTTGCAGACAGCAAGCTGTGCCACCAGGCGCCCAATACTCACTTGAACTCCTCCATGAAGGTGCCATGGTGAGCAATGTTTTGCCAAAGGCTCTTAAAAATAGTGCTGATGTGATAGCGAATTGTGAACTTGTCATAGAACTCACTGGTGGCTCCAGTATGCTCGACATCTGAGGAGGGAAGACAAAGAGAATCAGACACATGTCTGTCTGACCTTCCAGATGCAGTCACACTAAGACAATGACAGGAAGGACGACAGAGCGGGTGAAATGTTGCCTGTATCTCATGTGGGAGGCATAGGAGAAATTATGACTTCATCTTCTCTCCTCGTCTTCTTTTTAAAAGACTGGGTGTCACTCGATAGCCTTGGACAATCTGGAGGTCATAGACAGTCAATTCCCTCTGCCTCCCAGAGTGCTGGGATTAAAGTGTATCTCTCCCCCAATAACCTGATTTTAAAGACCAACGTTTCATGATAAAAGTCTGCAATGGATACATCATCTTTCAGAATGTGAGAAAGATGGGCACTGGTGGCGCACGCCTTTAATCCCAGAACTTGGAGGGCAGAGGCAGGCGGATCTCTGTGAATTTGAGGCCAGTCTGGTTTACAGAGCAAGTTCCACGACAGGCTCTAAAACAATACGGAGAAACCCTGTCTCGAAAAAAAAAAACCAAAAAGAATGTGAGAAAGTCAGCATCTTTGGGACATTATCAACCTGAATGATGATAAATGGTTATTTATCACATCTCCACCCCATTTTAAGCCATTGGTTTAAGGAAACTCCATAGCAGGTTCATATATGTATCTCTGAGCAGAAAAAAATAGACTAAATTTTCTATGTACCTATCACATGCCTATTATTTTGAACATGTTTTCCAAGCACGTCCTAAAGCAGAGAGAGGTACAGTGACTGCCCACACATGGCTCATGTCACTGGCACTCCTGTAATAGAAGACAGTGAAAACCAAACATGGTTATGCAACTTGCTAATTATCATAAGCATGAAAAAACTACAGTTACAGCTTAACAATGACAAAAAAGGGAAATTAAAACGAGCTACATTTGAAAGCATTGCTTATTGGCAGACATTAAAACATAAGACTGGTAGGGTGACAGTGGCACAAGCCTTTAATCCCAGCACTCGGGAGGCAGAGGCAGGAGGATCTCTGTTGCAGGGTATCTGATCACACTATGACACTTCAAAAATGTGCTAATGACGTTAACCTTGAGTCAGGGGGCAAAACCAGTGACTAACTGACCGGAATTAGCCATAGAGAAGCCAGGAATATGGACAGAGAAGATGGGACTTGCCTGGTCTACAGAGCAAGTTCCAGAACAGCTAGGGCTGTTACACAGAGAAACCTTGTTTCAATCAACAAAAACAAACAAAGGATAGTAATAAGACTGAAAAGGGGTGGAAGTTTGGGAAAGCAGGGACCCTGCACATGCTGGGGGAAACAAAGAGACGTCATCTCTCTGGAGACAATTTGGAAGCAAGGTGTGGTGGGCATGCCTGTAACCCTGCACTGAGGGCAGGCAGAGCAGGAGCTCAAAGCCAGCTTCTGTTACACAGCAGTTTGGAGGCCAGTCTGGGTACATGAGACTGTGTGAATCATAACAATGACTTTGCAAACTGTAGCACAACAATCAGTATACTTTCCACTGGCCTCTGGATTCACTCCAGAAAACACTCACAGGTATGTACAAAGATGGACTTCCAAGCATGCCCAACAAAATACTACATCTATTTTTACTTTTACAATACTGGGGATTGAACCCAGGGTGTTGACATGCTAGGCAACTGCTCTATCACTGCACAGAAATACTGTTTCTGACTAGAAAAAAAAATCAATAATCCAAATGTCTATGAGACAATGTTATACACACTGGCTGAAAATCAGAGACTACAAAAACAAACGTGCAGCTTGGGTATAATGACAGCTTTTTAAAAGTGGCTGAGGGCCAGCAAGATGGTTCAGTAAGAAGTGCTCGACACCAAGCCTGAAGACCTGAGTTCAATCCTCAAGACTTATACGCTGAAAGGACAGAAATGAGCCTGCAATCTGTCCTCTGACCTCATGCAAAACACACACACACACACAACAGATCTGCAGTAATGTATTCCACAGACTCTAAGCGCATATATAATGTAGGACCTTTATATTCTGCTTGGTAATGCGTTTGCTGCGCTGTGGGTTGAACCCAGAGCCCAGTATGGATCACAAAGCACTCTAAGCACCAAGCCCGCCTTGCTTCATAGTTTCTGCATTTTCCAATGTTTACATTTTGCAGGATGAAAACCAGTTTTTTAATATTTAAGGAAAAGGACAAAGATAGCCCTCCCATGCTAGGATCTGAAAGTACTTATGTATACTCATTAAGCCCACTCGTCTCTAGATGAACTAGGTGCCAGCAGTGACTCAAGCGAAGCTAGCAAAAGACAGAAAACTGGAGGCCAGCACAGCTCCATTAGCATCTAAAGCAGCCCCATTCTGGGCTGCGTCCCAGACACACCCCAAGCAAAGCCACTAGTGTTAGCTCACCGCCCACCAGTAGCATCTCTCCCAACACTTATGTTTCTTATTTTGCCTAATGTTTCCTCAAAAATCATTCCTACCCAGGTTCTAATTACCAAGGCTTTGCCCTTAAATGAACTTGACCCTTGCTAACCTCACAAGCCCTGCCCTATCTGAGCAAGGCTTCTTTTTTTTTCAACTCTTTCTGTAGATCAGGCTGGTCTGGAACACAGAGGTCCATCTGCCTCTGCCTCCTGAGTCTGGGATTAAAGGCGTGCGCCATCATGTCTAGCTTGAGCAAGCATTCTTGCTGCCTTCTTTCCAGGTTCACTTTACTGCCTTGTTTTTCTGCCACTCTGCGGCTGAGATCTACCGGTGCTCATGTGTCTATCACTCTGCGGCTGAGATCTACCGGTGCTCACGTGTCTATCACTCTGCGGCTGTGATCTACCGGTGCTCACATGTTTATCACTGGCGGCTGAGATCTACTGGCGCTCACTTTGCATCACTTCCTCAGAGACCTTACCCAATCACCTTTCTTGAAGAAGTACATCTTTTGCCACTCCCCCAGATCTCCCAAGTCGGCCTCCCGATGAGGGATTCTGGAGTCCTCCCACAGACCTTGCTGCATTAGTGACAGAAGCTGCCCTGCCTGTAGGCTTTGAGCTGCCAGTCAGCTGTGGGGAAGGAGAAGCCTTGAAATACGTCGAGCACCATCCAGAGCCTTCCTGTCCTAGGATCTGATGTCTAATTTTCCTTTTGAAACAAGAGTTCCTACGCGGGCGGCTCTGTGGCCCGAGAGGTGCTGGCTCCAGCAACCAATCCACAACATAACGAGATCCAATGGGCAGATCGTGGTGGGGTGCTGGGCAGAGCTGTGGGGAATCTATGTGGGGCACCCTGCAGGGACAAAGCTCCTGTTACCATGGAAGAACAACAGAGCAGTCAGGCACACTTGTGCTGGCACCCAGCTGCTGGGCACCTGCCACTCACTGGCCGTTAACCTTCAACAGGCTTCTTGACCTTTCTAAGCTCGAGTTTCCTCAGTTGTAAAATGCATGTATTTATAGCACACATCTCTGCGACAGCTATGTAGATCAAGTGAAAGTGACCATTGAGTGGCAACTATTTTTAGAAAAGGTGTCGTCTATTATGACTATGAAGGGGGCTCAGGCCAGAGGGGGTACACTGCTCCATGACAAAGGAAAAGAGCAAATAATACCTACCCAACCACATGCTTCTCAAGTGTGTCTCCTCCCCGCGCCCCCCCTCAAATTCCTTATGCAGACCAGGCTGGAATCTAACCGGCAGTATGTACTGCTTCACACCTGTCCTGAATACACACAAGGCATCATTTGTAGCTAAATAACCAAGTCAACCCTGGCCAGGACTTATACCCCAAAAGGGGCCTTCTATCCATCAGTGGACTGACTGGACTATCTCCATAGGAACAATGTTTACAAAACATACGAGGCAATGTGTGCATACTTTAGACTTCAGAGTCTGAGTGGGCTGAGAAGAAGCTCTTGTCAGATGGAACAAAGCACAGCGTAAAGGGGAAAGCAGGAGGGTCTGGGACCCCCATTAGAAGTTGGGAGACACCACTAACACAGTCAAAACAGACAGAGGGCAATCACTGCCCCTGAATATTGGGCGTCCTCAATCAGGTCGCCCCTGTCAACAGCAAGGGCATGTATTGTAAGCAACTGTATTTTCTATAGAAAATGGTGGGGTCTACTGTTGTGGGATTTCGATCCATTTAGCCAATGATTTTGGGGACAGTAAGCCCTAAATAATAAATATTAGACTCAGGAATCTCATTTAAAACTGAAAAGACAGGGGTAGATAAAATACGCCAGTAAGATAGCCGAGTGCTGGTGGCGCACGCCTTTAATTCCAGCAGAGGCAGAGGCAGGCAGATCTCTGTGAGTTCGAGACCAGCCTGATCAATGAGAGTGAGTTCCAGGACAGGCTCCAAAGCCACAGAGAAACCTTGCCTTTGCCTCTGGAGTGCTGGGGTTAAAGGTGTGCACCCCCCACTGCCCAGCCCAAAAGTCAAATTTTAAAGAAAGTGAAGAGGCGGAACCCCTCCGCTTTATCCAGTTTGGAAACTCAATTAGAGGATGGGGCTACATATCAAATGCTATAAATTCAAAGGAAATGACCCAGGTAATTTTACTCAGATGAAAACACCAACTTGAGCTACTGGAGTCTGCTGAATCATCAGAAGCCAGCACACGCAGTGCCTGTGTCATCTCTCAGACACATGAGGAGAAGACACAGGACAGACAGCACATGCTCTGAACTGGGGCAGGTAATAAGCGGATGCCAGAGTCCAGAAGGCAGGATTATTTATCTATCTATTTATGGATTTTAGGTCACAGGTTTAGGTTTAAGTTCACTCTGAAACAACCTTATCTGCCATGTGGCCACATGCCAAAGATACAATCGAGAACCTACCTGTATAGAACTTCATGAGGGAAGGTACCAGCAACTTGGTAGAGAGAGGATGGTTCTCAATCATCTCAAAAAACTTCTGAGTCCGAGGCTGGACAGAGGGGTTGGTCATAAACATGACCTCCACCAGCTTGGCCACTAGGTACGGGTTGCGGATGTAGCTCTGGTTGCACAGCATCACAACGAGGAACATCACAATGTCCTGAGTGCAGGGCTCATAAAGCACCTGAGGAGAGTATCTGAAGAGAGACAGGGACACGCCTTGAGTCGCCGGGAGCCACGGGAGAGTTTGTTAGGCAGGGAAGGAAGGGGGACAGGGCACAGCGGAGGACAGACACTGGGTCCCTTTGAATGGTTCCAGTGACATGCACCCTGGAACGACACAGATGCAAAGCCAAATGTGTGTGCTGGCTGCAGCAGGCCATGCTAACTGCGCTTCACAAAGTTATTTGAAAGAAAATGTCTCAAAAAGCTCACTACACAGCTTAGGCCAGCTTTGAACTTGTTATCTTTTTCTCCACTTCCCAACCACTGGGATCACAGGGATGCTTGACCATGATGAGCTTTAAAAAGGTTTTGATGGAGTTAATGTCTAACCTGAAACCTTCTAGAGCCAGCAAGATGCTGAAGCTGGTGTGGGCACTCCTCGGTGCAAAGCCTGACAACTCAGTTTGGTCCCCAGGACACACAGGGCAGCAGGAGAGGGCTGGTTCTCACAAAGAGATGCTTGGCAGCATGCAAGGTACCATGACACACAGGAGTAAGTACATGCCATTTTAAATAATTTATGCTATTGTGCTTGCAATAAATGACTCAAGATACTTAAACTCTTTTTTTGTTTGTTTGAGATAGGGTTTCCTCCTTGTCACAGCCCTAGCTGTCCAGGAATTGTTTAGGTAAACCAGGCTGGCTTTGAACTCACAGATAACCGCCTGACTCTGCTGGGATTAAGGGCATAAACCACCACTGGTCAGCCCAAGCTACTTAAATTCTAATGCTGGATTTACTCAGAAACTGAACTCTAATCAGCTTTTAAATTTCTTGCCATTCATGTATCATTCCCCACTGACTGGGCCTGTCTGGGAACAGTTTTTCTGTTCTTCTGTTATCGGAGGGATGGTGTCACTATGTAGACCTAGCTGACCTGGAACACATTCACCTTCAAACAAGCAGCTCGTATTTCACACGGAGCTGGCCACCTACACTGCTTATCCTGCTTTTGTCCTGGAGATGGTATTGCAATTGACTGCTACTGAATATGGTTTACATTGCCAATTTTTAAGCAGCATTTGGGTAAAGGAAATCATACAACCCCAGGCTTAAATGAAGGTTTGAAACACAGCTCATAGCACCATGTACAGCATACAAGCAGAGCATACATTATGTGAAGTACTTACTGTACAATAAAAAATAAAAATTCAGCAACATCTTCTACATAAAACTCAGGCAATGCTGCAAAGGCCTTGGGGACTTCTGAATTTAAAGGCAGTGTTACGCTGTAGAAGAGGGGAAAAAAGCACAGTTACAACATGAAACCATGGAGTGTTGAGTACAAGGAGTGTCAGTCACACTACTCAACAGCTCATTTTGGAAGGAGGAACCCAACTGTGTGAAGCGTGCACAGGCAAACAACTGTGCCTTTCAGAAGTGAGGAGAGAATGAAGGAGACGGGCTGACTGAAGTGTTTACCTCATCAGAATTTCTAGTTAGAATTAAGGCAGTAGGTAAAACGGGAAGCATTCCAAAGTTCGTATTTGGTCATTTTGAGCAACTCAAACTGAGTCCACAAGTCATGCATGTATTTTATACAACCATCCCACTATTAGGGGTGCAGGCCAAACCTCACCAATACCTGTGACCCAGGAGTTCAAAATGAACATAAAACAGCCATAAATTAAAGAGCAGTGGCTATCAATGTCTGGCTTTCCTGGACTTGGTGCTTAGAAGGACTCAGTTAATTCTAGCATTGTGCTTCTAATTTATAGATTTGCTTTTCTACCCATCCAGTGCGAAACCAAAGTTTTTAAAATGCCACCAATTAAAAAACACACAGGAAATGTTAATACCGCTTCATCATCTATGTAATAGATATAACCTGGGAAATGAAAGGCAAACCCTTGAGAAGGTAAGGGTCTGGCTTTAGCTATGTCTGAAGAACAGCAAGGACGACACGGCAAGCACGGTGAGACGGGCAGAGGGAAGACACACTCACTCGGGATACGCAGGGTCCAGGACGCGCAGCATCAGCTGAATGAGAAGGCCATAGAAATTCAGACATCTTCTCAGGAAGCTCTCGTCAAGTAAGCCAGCGTCAGCACAGGCCTTGCACCGTACCAGTTTCTGTGGAAGCAGGTGTGCCCCCACCCAGAGATTAGCCTGGAGCCAAGACACCCTTTGCATGACTAGGCAGGGAGAGGGGCTAGGAGGTCAGACACGTAGGTTCTAGAGTCTCCAGAACATTTTAACTAGCTACAGGACACTGACTGGTGTGTCAAGATCTTTCTTTTCCTGTAGGAATGCCATGCAAACCACTGAGCACGAAGGATGGATGCAGTTAGTGCCTGAGGTGGTGCACTGATACCAGTTCTCAGTAACTTGGATGGGGATGGGGCTGACAGGGAGCCCTCTGGGTGTCAGGACACTTAGTGGAAAAAAGCCAGACAAACTGGGTCTGCATTTCAATACTACCACTTTATGTGCTACCCTCAAACAAAGCGCCTGCCCACTAGGACTGCCACGAGAATAAGATAACAGAAGCACACGTGATGGGAGGATTCTAACAGCGTATTACAGATCCCTTGAACACAACTGGAATATAGAGGGGGCTACGAAGCTGAAAGGGGAGCCCTGGCTTATTCTGCATCCTGTAGCCCAGGATGGCCCCGCATCTTGACCTCCCAAGTGCTGGAGGTATAAGCAGGAGCCACTATGACCATCTCTATTTTGTTGTCTTAAAAGCAGTCTAGTTTATTAGCAAGCGAAAACCTGAACGTTTAGCTTGTCACTTTGCTCTATAATCCCACTAAGCACAAGCAGCTAACATAATCCGAGCATAAGCACAGAAAACATACACACATGCTTCTCTGCCTTCCCACAAGGCCAGCCAATGCTTGTGCTTAGCTGAGTTTCACCAGTAGGGATATTTCCATTTATAGGTAGGTCTATGTAATAGATCATTGTCAATTAGAAATGAAAAACAAGGGGTAAGTGAAAGAGATCTGCTACCACAATGTGCTCTGTCGAACACCGTGACAGTGTGTGGCTGTGTGTGCTGGAGCAGGAGTGTAGACAGCTGAAGGGTCTTTCACAAGGTTGGGCAAGGGAGGAGAGGCTACAGTGAGGATGAGAACACGAATTAAGAACTCACAGGATAAGCATACGTGTATTCTCTACTGGGATTTAAATAATTATATACAGAAATATGCAAAGTATCAACACTTTTCAAATGATCCTATTTTACCTTGAGGGAAAAGAACAATGAAGAAACAATAAGGACAAACACCTGCTCATCAAGGTGCTTACTCTGGTGGAAATAGCACGGTTATGATGCCAGCCCACAACTAGGCCTATTAACCATACCAACCTTAAGCTGAGTTTTACAGCGTTTCAGCATTTCTCGGTGTCTGGTGGCCAGTGGGGAGTCTTTCCACTGGCTTTCATTATTCTTCAAATCTTCCACGGTTCTGAAATTAACAAACAAAACATACTAACAATCAAATCAAAGAAAATCGTCAAGTCCATTTTACCAACTCACTTCACAGACTCCCTGATATAATTCTCTTCCCACATTAAGTATTTTAAAAAGTAGAGCAGAGGCAGGTGAATTTCTGTGAGCTTGAAGCCAGCCTGGTCTACAGAGTGAGTTCCAGCACAGACTCTGAAGTTGCACAGAGAAACCCTGTTGGGCGAGGGGGGTGGTAGAGCACACAGGCCAGGCATGGTGGTACATGACTCCAATCCCAGCACTTGGGAGGCCCAGGCAGGTGGATCTTTGTGAGTTCAAGGACAGCCTGGTCTACACATAAAGTTCCAAGACAGCCAGAGTTCCATGGTGAGATCCTGTCTCAGAACAAAATAAAATAAAACCAGATCACATTCCACTACAGTGAGTTCTGGTTTAATTGACAGCATTAATAATAATAATGATAATAATAATAATAATGTGTATTTTGGGAGGAGGGATGTTTCAAAACAGAGTTTCTCTATGTAGCCCTGGCTGTCCTGGAACTCACTCTGTAGATCAGGTTGGGCTCAAACTCAGGGAGCCTCTATGCGTGTTAAAGAATGTTTGTCACAGAACTTGGGAGGCAGGTGCAGGCAGATTTTTGTGAGTTCAAGGCCAGAGCTACCTGGTGAGATACCATCCATCTGTCTGCTGTCTACATCTACCACCCCCTGGGCAAAAACGCACGTTAGACATGATGAAATATCATCATCTTCTTAGTTACCCTGCTGCTCCGATAGGTTAAAAGATCGTTCATGTAAAAATTCTAAGCTCTTCTGCCTCATGAACTATCAAAGCAAATGGCATTTTCCTTAGAAGGTCCTCTCTCTGCATGGAGTGGTCCTCCCTGTGGCTGCCTGGGTCCCTTCTAGGTGATGGCTTAACATCTATCATGGAGGGAACATCACCATTACACACTGCTGATATTAAAAACTTGCTTACTTCCCAGGATTCCACAATTTCCTCATGGTATTGTGTAGAAACTCAGAGATTGTTGAAGGTCTAACATCACAGTTCCCTGACTCCTAAACTGACGATTCTCATGAAGGCAGAATCACTTCTAGCAGGAAACTTGCTGGAAGACTTCTGAAAGTATGGGGCAGAGGGGGTTTGGGCTGAGGCTATGGCAGAGGTCCCACTACTAGGCAGAAGTAATTTCCCTGTCAAAGCATCCTCTAGAGAACATCACCAAGAGCCCTTTCCACTATGCTAGAGTTCAGAAACAAAACACTCCACACTTCCCTTTCTCATTATCTCAGAACACCTGGATTCTTTGGGCTAAGACTAGAATAGTAGACAGAACAATGGCTTCTTTTAACAATGTCACATCCAAGGACTGGAGAGATGGCCTAATGGTCACCAAAATCCATGCTCTGGCAAAGGATATAGGTTCAGTTCCCAGCACCAACATGGTGGCTTACAGCAAAACATCTTTTTTTTTTTTTTGGTTTTTCAAGACAGGGTTTCTCTGTGGCTTTGGAGGCTGTCCTGGAACTAGCTCTTGTAGACCAGACTGGCCTCGAACTCACAGAGAACCGCCTGCCTCTGCCTCCTGAGTGCTGGGATTAAAGGCATGCCCAACACAGTACAAATTCTAATTGGGTATTAATAATAAAAGCACAGACAGAGACAGATATCAGGGTTAAAGCTGAAGATCAGAGATTCAAATCACTAGAGTTCTCACCTCTACTAATGCTCAGACCACAGGATGATCCTGTCCTCCTTCCGCCCAGCCATACCCCTTCCTGTCTCTACTCCCTTGGTACTGGGATTAAAGGCGTGTGATCCCAAGTACTGGGATCACCTTTGTGTGAGTCAGTCTGTGAGTCAATCTGTGAGTCAGTCAGTCTGTGAGTCAGTCAGTCAGTCAGTCAGTCAGTCAGTCAGTCAGTCTCTCTCTCTCTCTCTCTCTCTCTCTCTCTCTCTCTCTCTCTCTCTCTCTCTCCTCCCTCCCTCCCCCCCTCCCTCCCTCTCTCTCTGTGCTGGGATTAAAGGCGTGCGCCACGTGTGAATTCTCTTTTAGACTTAGTCACTCTCATGTAGCCCAGGCTGGTCTTGAACTCAGAGATCCGTCTGCTTCTGTCTCCTGAGTGCTGGGATTAAAGGTGTGTGCCACCACTGCCTGGGCTCTATGGCTAACTAGGGTGGCTGCTTTGCACTCTGATCTTCAGGTAAAGCTTTATTTGCTAGGTCATAAACAAAATATCACCACAGTGGCTCACAACAATCTCTAACTCCAGTTTCAGGGGATCTGATTCCCTCCTTTTGACCTCCAAGGGCACTAGTGGCACACAGTCACATACAGGCAAAACACTCATACACATTAAGATAAATAAATCTAAATAAATTATATAAAGACACTGCACCCTAGTCCTGGGAGCCTTCCCTTACACAAACACACACACACACACACACACACACACACACACACACACGAAGAGAGAGAGAGAGAGAGAAAGAGAAGAGAGAGAGAGAGAGAGAGAGAGAGAGAGAGAGAGAGAGAGAGAGAGAGAGAGAGAGAGAGAGAGTTAGTTTACATCATACCACTGCATCTCCAAGTGGCACAATACTGTTAGCACTGAAAGTGACCGGTGGGATCAGCGGGAGTCATGGGATCGCAGATGACACACTATCCAGAGGGGAAGAAATATACTAATCTACAATCATAGCTTGACATGTACGGAAACCTCTCTTGGTGACTGATTTTTAGTTTTCATTATCTTATTTGCTTATTGTGTAGGCAGAGGACACCTAGGAAGGTGTCAGTTCTTTCCTTCCACGATGGGGTCTGGGCACTAGAGTCCGTGCCAGGCTTGGTCACAAGATTTTTCATCCACTATGCCATCTCCTCAGCATTCAGTGGCTGCTATTAGCCAGGGTGAGGAAAACTTGAGAAAGAGATGAACAAGCTTCAAGAGGCCTAAATCACACAGACCATAGTGCAATTCAGCTAGAAAATATAACAAGAGACAACCCTGACTATAAATGCAAAGCACTGTGGATTAAGTAAAATAGGTTAAGTTAGACACACCTCTAATCCCAGCAACGTGGTGTCAGAGGCAGGTGGATCACTGTGAGTTCCAGGGCTATAAGTTAGACTCCTTACAAAATACAAGCAAACAAACAAAAAACAAAAAGGAAAGGAAAGAAAGGAAAGGAAAAGAGGAGAGCATAGGCAGAGGCACTGGCAGAGCCACATTTACCACCCAGCTTTAGGAAGTCGTCGGGTCCGTGCTGCCACTGAGTACAGGGCAGCTTGCTGCCCATAAACCCAACTAGGTGTTTGGTGGCAGTGCCTCTGCTGTTAGTATCAAGTGCACCCGAGAAAAGGAGGCTATCAGGATGAACATTTGGCCCTGGTTTTGTATGTTTAGAACCTTTTAAAAGGCTCTAAAGCTTTCTGTGAATGTAGGTGCCCACATTCGGTGCCATATGTAGGTGGAATTAGCATTCCATCCCCAGCACCAAAATAGAGGGTCACAAGTGTCTGTAACTACACTGAGAGGATCCAATGCCCTCTTCTGGCCCCTGAGGGTACCCAGCACACATGTCACGCACATACATACATGCAGGCAATACATTTATACATATACTTTTTTTTTTTAAAAAAACAAAACTCAAAATCCTGGGGCAGGAGAGGTGATCTTTGCAAAGGATTTGGTAAATTCTCCAGCATTCACCTGTAACCCCGCTCCAGATCTGTCACCTCCTGTGACCTCCATGGGCACTGCACACATGTGGTACACAGACACATGGAAAGAAAGCATGCGTGCATATCAAATCACACTAAGTAAGCCTTAAAAACCTAACAAGTCACTTCAGAAATTAGGAACCAAGGAACTAAACATAAAAGTATAGAAAGAAGGACTGTGACAATTCCATGTGGAAACCAAACTTTTGGTTTTCTTTTCGTGACAGGGTTTCTCTGTTTTGTTTTGGAGCCTAACCTGGAACTAGCTCTTGTAGACCAGGCTGGCCTGGAACTCACAGAGATCCGCCTGCCTCTGCCTCCTGAGTGCTGGGATTAAAGGTGTGCACCAATGGCAGATCTCTATGAGTTTGAGAGTGGTCTACAGAGTGAGTTCCAGGACAGGGGAACAATGGAAGCCCTGTCTTGAAAAAACAAAAACAAAAAGAATCTACAGTGTCGGTATTAGAGTGAATGGTCTGGGATGTGTATTACAGACATGCAACGACAGTCTCTCTTTGTACTGGCCCAGAAAAGAACTGGACAACGCATGCGTGTTCCCTGGATGCACATGTTTGCAGAAGCTACAGCATCAGGACACAGAGTCACAGCAACCGCTGTCATGATTTGATGACTGACAGCTAGAGCTGGTGGACAGTGTTTGGGCTTCTCAGAGACAACAGGGCAAAGGGCAATTACAGGGTTCCTTGATTATCATAGGAAAACAGGGTTTGCATTCTAGGGCAAGAAGGTAAGCAGAGAAGGCAGGGGATCCCGAAAGTGGTTCCTGGTAATCTTCACATACAGAGACGAACACCAAGGGTTCTGAAATCAACCTCTGCATCACTTCATCACGGGAAGGACACTGGACAAACGAGAGCCCCTGGCATGGCAATAGAGGCAGACAGCATGTGCATGTATACATCCTACACCCAGAGCTACTGACCCCATCCGACTGCTTGTGCCTAAGAGGCAGCAGTAACAACGCCGGGACAGAGACTGTGTGTGGCACATACCGATTGAGCTCTCGGATGGCTCGGAGTCTGCGGATGTAGCGACGACAGCTAGGCAGAATAGAGAGATGGTGAGCATGCAGGGTCAGAAAGAAACACTCCGTAGGGAATTTTGGCTCAGAAAACGGAGACTGATCTCCATCTAGAAAAAGAAAAGGAAAAAAACCAACATGAATCCTAACTAAAATCAATTATAAGAAACAAGGAAAGGGTTCTATTCTGAAGGAAAATAAATTAAGAGTATTTTCTCTCTCTGTGTGCGTGCGTGTGTGCATGTGTGTGTTGTTGTGTAAGGACATGGTTCTGCATTTGTATATGTGAAGTTATTTGTGTCTTTCTATATATTATTTTTGAAACTGGATATCTCAATGAACTTAGATGTCACAAGTGACTAGGCTAGACAGCCAATGATACAGGGACCATGCTGTCTCCTTCCACCCAGTGTTGGGGTGTCAGATGTGTGCTGCCACACCCAGCTGTTATGTGGGTGCTGGGAAGCTGAGCTCAGATCCTCATGCTTGTGTTTCCACAGTCGGGGAATTTTCACATCGTGTTGTTTTTTGAGACAGGATCTTTTTACATAGCTCTGGCTAGCCTGGAACTCTCCACGTAGATTAAGCTGTCTATGGAGCTCCGCCTCTGCCCCCTAGTGCTGAGATTAAGGGTGGGTACCACCACTGACCAACTGTAAGTGTAGTAGTTTTCAATCAGCACAGAACTGGACTCCTTTACAGGGCAGAGTCTGCACAGCATGTCACACGCAGACAACTTCCACACTGACCATTTCTTTGTGTCGGAAACATCCAAATCCCCTCGGCAGTTTTTATGAAATACATACTGACTGTTGCTGACCATGGTCATCCTCCTGTGCTAAAGACCATAGGGGCTATATCTCCTTTGCAACTGTACCCCTTAACCAGCTGCATTGCTACAAGGGCACAGTCTTGTTATTTAGGAGACTGAGACAGGAGGACTGCTTGAGTCTAGGAACTGAAAACAAGCCTGGGCAACACAGGGAATCTATGACTCATAAAAACTAGTGCTGCCCAGTCAACTGCTGCTTTATTAATCATTCTCTGTGTATCCCTTAACCCTTCCACAGTACTATTTTATGTCAGATACTGCCAGAATTCACTTAAGACTGAGGAAATGAGTGTATGAAACAATGCGTCTTTCTTTTTTTCTTTTCTTTTCTTTTTTTTTTTTTTTGGTTTTTCAAGACAGGGTTTCTCTGTGTAGCTTTGGAGGCTGTCCTGGCACTTGCTCTGTAAACAAGGCTGGCCTCAAACTCACAGAGATCCTCCTGCCTCTGCTTCCTGAGTGCTGGGGTTATAGGCATACACAAGTAAGACTGAGCACCAAGTAATTACTTTTCTAGAAGGTGTACATTCGATCATGGTATTTCCACTTTGAGGTAAATAGGAATTCATCTTATTCCACACATAATTTTAAAATACCACAATAACCAAATTGGCGTGGGATTTTGATTTTGGGAATTAAATGTTATCAAGAAGCAAGATCATTACCATCACACCTTAAAATAGTGAGTGATATTTTCAACTACTAGAACACAAAATCTACAATAAAGTTGTTGTTTTTCTTTCTTCTTCTCTTTCCCACCCATCTGTTCCATATATCTGTGTTTAGGAACTCAAGGAAGAAATTTTGCTATGTCAATTTTAACTATGCATCTCTATGTCCCAGAGCCATACAGATGAAAGAGAAGGGACCTAGCGACAAACACATCACTCACAGAGCTCAGCCAGCCACCCATTCACATCCTCCATCGTTGCATTTATCCGTGTCTCATCATTTGGGAGAGTAATCCGACATTTCGGGTGGAATATGTAAGTGGGGTCAACTGTTTCTAACTTGATTTTTGTACTGAGTTGCTGCAGGACCCAAAGGAGATTCAGCATAAAACCATCTGTTGACACCAACCGATCATCCGCCTGTGACAAAAGACAAGAGCAATGGAAACAATTGTTAAGTACAAATCCCGGACATTTCCTTAAAAGCAAATGGGACATTCAAATGTGACCATGCCCCAAAAGCAGAGACAGGGGTGGGATGTGTGGTGACCACTGTCAATCAGCTAGTAGACGCTAGCCAAGGAAGGTCCCGCCAATCCACTACCCTGTCCTACAGAGGAACTGAGGGTCAAGGAACAGGTTAGTAAGCAAACAGAGAATGAACGTAGCTTCCTTTCTCGCTCTCATTTCTCAAGAACACCAGCACAACTCCATGTGACAGCTTCCCCATCTGAACAGGGGCCACCACACACTGGGAACTCATCTAATGCTGTACACATGAGAAGCCCACGGGCTAGCTGCCACTATCAGCTGCATTTGCGAGGTGAAGAAACCGAGGCATACAGGAGTGACTATCAGGTGTGGACAACTCACAGACCACATGCAGCTGAGGCCAGTCGTGAAGTGGCTCGATATAAAACTGCAAACTCACATAAAACCTGATGAAAGTTTGTGTGATCTCTTCAGACTGCCTGATTCTTGGGTGCTTACTTACAGATGACAACACCAAGTGACACTGTCAACTGACTAACACAGCAGACATTGTGAGCAGCACCAGAAGTCGCAGGGTTCTGCTCCTCTCTATTCTTTTCTTCTTTTGCTTCTGAGTTACTATAATCTAGAATTTCCCCTCTCTTACCATGAGCAGTCTGCTCGGTTGCCATTCCCTGTGGCTTCCTTGCTGACAGCCCTCCCATTCAGTGGAGTCTAGTATAGTCCTCACCTATAGACTCAAGCCCATGGCTTCTTTTTTACCTGCCCGTTTGCCCCTTGTCACTAATGCCCGTGTCTTGGGCTTACAATAAAGCTGGCTCACTTCTGCCCTGAGACCATAAATGTATCAAGAAGGTTCTATTCTCAGCCTCGTAATGACCAGCTCCCCAGTCAAGGTTTTAATAAAATGCCACCTCCTTAGAGAGGGCACCCTGCTACCTGAATAAAATTCCCTCCTGCACCTCCTTCCTTCCGGTCTCCACAAGTACTCCCTAACCCTCTGCACTCACAGCAAGACTCCATTATTGTCTGAACACTGACTGCATGACCACTCCCTGCAGAGAACTCATGCTCCACACAGCGGCAGGCTTGCCTGTCTGGTCGCATGCTGTCTTCCGGGCGCCTAGAACTCAGCCAGGGAGGTGTGGCATTGAGGCTGAGCTGGAAAAACAGGTGCAGTGAGCAACTGAGCGCATATCAGGGGTTCCTACCTGCATTTGGGCTTTCTTCATGTTGGCATTGACGACGGCTGCCATGTAACTGAGAGCTGCTTCACGAGTTTCACCGTTCAACAGAATACTATGCAGAATCTTGAAAAGCTCTTGCTGAATTATTTTCAAAAAGAAAAACACAATTGGCTTCTTTATTAATAACAGCCTCCCACGCCCCATGTCTGTTTCTTGTGGCAAACCCAGGACAGTCAACACACAGAAGTGTGCCCATGTGACCAGGAGGAACACGGAGAGCAGCAGCGGCTGTGGGGAGGATATTGAGCAGCCCGCTTTAATAAACCAGCCTCTGACACTCTCTCCGTTCCATGACCAAATGCCCTCCCTTAGCGAGGCACTTCACAGTTACAGGACAAAGGACACATTAATTAGATTTGGGACCAGTGGTTCAGCAAAGGGTGCCTCACACTAACAGCTTGTGCTCATCCTCATGATTTCCACGGCTACAGGAAAGATGGAGGGAAAGCATGGCCACAAGACATCACTCCAGTCCCCAGTGGCATTCCCAGAGAAATAACATAGCTGGGCTCATGTCACGGGTGGGGCTCTCTGGGCTTCATCTCTGCCCAGAAGCAACAGCAAGTGCTAACAGTGATAGGGGTTGGCTCTACACGGAGTACCCTCTGTGACTGAGTGACCTGGGCAGCACTGGCTCTAGGAAACACGCCTCTCCTCCCTAGGGAGGCCCTCCCCTCTGGCTTCCCTTCTGAAGACCTACCCGTCCCAGCTCCAGGTAGTGCTGCAGTGACTGGCTGACGACTCGGGTGTTCTCCAGGGTAATGGTGGGCCCCGAGAAGTACTTCTCAACCACCTTTGCCTGGAAGGAGAGGGCAGCCATTCAGTCAGCATAAGTGACTATGGGAGGCTCAAGTGCATCAGGTATACTCACGTCATCCTCCGCGAAGACCGAGAAGCTGAAGAAGACCCCTAGGTAGGACAGTCTCTGCAGCTCCCGCCCGGATCCAGGGCTTAAGGACTTCGGCAGCCACAGGGGCAAAGAGGCGACCTAGACACAGCACAGAGGACCAGTCAAGCTGCTGGGGAGGCTGTCCTGGCAGGAGCTTAGAGTGCCCAGCCAGTTCTGGTCAGCTAGCCCCCCCAAAACACAAGGCACAAACAAGTCAGGTTCCTTTTCATATTCTTTTGACCCACAACAGAGGTCTCCAACGGTTGTATAATAAGTGTGTGTGTGGTCTGAGGTATTTCTCCTCATTGTCCCTTTTGATCATCTTCTCCCTCACAAACTCCTATTCCAGTGTTTTCTGTTTCTGTGTAGCACACTGCACCTAAGTGAGGATGTTTACTTACATGGGCATGCGTGGGGCATCGTTTACTTTGTGGCAAGGTTACCATGGCAGTAGGTAGACTACTGAGGACTATGACCCCCCCCCCCCCAAACCATTAACTGCCTATAAGAGGTCAAGACACACATAAGTGAAATTTCAAAGGACCCTTCTGATGCTACTCAGAGTCTGCTCATTTTCCACAGCACCTGCTACTCTCACAGTACAGTACTTATCCCCCCAGAAAAATCAGACAAAAGGGAAACACATCACCACAGAAAATACCACACATAACAGACATAGTCACAAAAATACCACATGACAGATGTGAGCATAAAAAATACAACATATAACAGCAATTTAAAAGCTTAGCCCCACACCCTGCCTATATGCAAGTCTTTATGAGAAATCTGTAGCTGACACTACTTTTAAAATGGCCTCTGCGTGGTGACAAAGCAGCTGCCTAGAGAATGTCAGCACACAGGCTCGCCAGGTCACACTTACCAAACTGCACACAGGATGTGTCTTCCCAAACTTGGTTTCACAGAGCTCACCTAGTGCCTGGAAAGAAGACAGGATAGAATCACTGGGATGTGTTGTGTCTTACACTGCTGCCACCTGTAACAACGAGGGACAGCTTCCATTTCCACTGCTAATGCTTGGCGAAGTTCTTTGTAAGGTCATCCACACCTCACTACTTTTACCACTTAGTAACTGAATGCCCAGCACTACAAAAACAAACAACAAAAAAGCAGTATCCTGCCTAGGTGGCCTGGCGCACACCATTAGTCCCAGAACTCAGGCGACAGGGGCAGGCTGATCTCTTCGAGGTAGAGGCCAGCTTGGTCTACAGTGTTCCAGGACAGCCAGAGGTATACAGAGAAACCCTGTCTCAGACAAACAAAACTATCTTTGTGGGAAGGGACGCACTTGGAGGACAAATACAAAGCGCACATAGAAACCACTCACACTTCATTTGTAGATATAATGCCCTCTGAGGCCCTTTCCAAAGGTGTGCACCTAGCTTGAAAAACTGAATTTTTGCTTCATATTATGTCATAATACAAGACTGTGTGTGTGCTAATCTTACCAGCACTACCCAGGGCGTTACTCTGGACCCCAGAAACTATCAGATGCAGAACACATGACTACCAGATACAGGGAGGGTGCAGGAACTCGTCTTCAGTGTTGTCTTCGTCCCACGGTTAGTCATGATCAACAGTCTAGCCTGGCAACTGATCTACAATGAATATGAAATTACTTTCTCTGTGACTCAACAGAAGCTGCGGAACAGCCATTGAGTTTGGAAGTCACTGATGTAGAGAACTGCTGAGAAGTTGAAGTTTTCATAGAATAGTGGGATATTCCATTAGTACCACAAGGAGAGCCTAAAACAATCTCAACATAGGGCAACACACCATTCACGATGCCTCCTGAGTGCCACCAAAGCCCAGCAGCTGTCATCAGTTTTTGATCTTAACCATTCTGACAGGTTTAAGATGGAATCTCATCGTTGTTTTGATTTGCATTTCCCTGATGACTAAGGATGTTGAGCATTTTCTTAAGTGTCTTTGCACAATTTGAGATTCTTCTTTAGACAACTCTCTATTTCCATTGGACTATTTGTTGTTTGTCTGGTGTCTAGTTTCTTTAGTTCTTTGTATATTTTGGAGATCAGTCCTCTGACAGATATGGGGTTGGAAAAGATCGTTTCCCATTCTGTAGGCTGATGCTTTGTCTTGTTGAGGTCTTGGATCCATTTGGACCTGAGTTTTGTGCATGGTGATAAATAAGGATCTATTTATATTCTTCTACATGTAGAAGTTATTTGTTAAAGATGCTTTTCCGCCCATTTTATAATTTTAGCTTCCATGTCATCAAAAATCAGGTGTTCATAGGTGTGTGGATTAATATCAGGGTCTTCAATTCCGTTGGTCTACCTGTTGGCTTTTAAACTAATGCCGAGCTGTTTTCATTACTGTAGCTCTATAGTAGAGCTTGATGTCAGGTATGGTGATGCCTCCAGAAGTTCCTTTAACGTACAGGATTGTTTTGGCTATATGAAGTTGGGTGTTGTTCTTTTAAGACCTGTGAAGAATTTTGCTGGGTATTGAATTGAATCTGTAGATTTCTTTTGGTAAATTTGCCATTTTTACTATTACTGGAGTGAATTATGTATGCTATCACATCATCAGCAAAAGACTGACTTCTTTTCCAATTTGTTATCTCTGGATTTCCTTTTGTTGTCTTATTGCTCTAGCTAGGATTTCATACTGAATAGATATGGATAGAGTGAACAGCCTTGTCTTGTTCCTCATTTCAGTGAGATCGCTTTGAGTTTCTCTCCATTTAGTTTGATGTTGGCTTATGGCTTGCTGTATATTGCCTTTATTATGTTTCGGTATGTTTCTTACAGCCCTGCTCTCTTCAAGACATTTATCCTGAAGGGTGTTTAATTTTGTCACAGGTGTCTTCAGCATCTAACGAGATGATCATGAGGCTAGTTTTGTTTCTTTCAGTTTGTTTTACATGGTGGATTAGAGATTTTCATATGTTGAACCATCCCGGCATCTCTGGAATGAATCCTACTTGGTCACATTGGATGATTTTTCTGATGCATTGTAGGTTTCACTTTGTCAGTATTTTACTGAATTCTTTTGCATCAATGTTCATGAGGGAGATTGGTCTGTAATTCTCTATCTTATTTTTGTCTTTGTGTGGCTGAGGTAACTGCAGTCTCATAAAAACAGTTCGCTAATGACCCGTTTCTTTTTCTTTTTTTCCGAGACAGGTTTTCTCTGTGGCTATGGAGGCTGTCATGGAACTAGCACCTGTAGACCAGGCTAGTCTGAAACTCAAAGATCCCCCTGCCTTTGCCTCCAGAGTGCTGGGATTAAATGTGTATACCACCACTACTCAGCGATCTTACTGTTTCCGTTATGAAAGAATGAAGAGTATTGACAGTAGCTCTTCTTAGAAGTTCTAGTAGAATTCTGCATTGAAACCACCTTGCCCTGGTCTTTTTTTGGTTGGGAGACTTTTGATGACTATTTCTATTTTCATAGGGGTTTATAAGTCTACTTAATTTGTTTATCTGGTCTTGATTTAATTTTGGTAAGTGATGCTTACTTAGAAAATTGTCCATTTTCTTAAAATTTTCTATTTTTGTTGAATAAAGGTTTTTGAAGTGTGACTTGATTTGTTGGATTTCCTCAGTGTTTTATGTCTCTGTTTTCATTTCTGATTTTCTTAATTTGGATCTATCTCTCTGCCTTTCAGTTAGTTTGGATAAAGGTTTGTCTATCTTGCTGATTTTCTTGAAGAACCAACTCTCACTGAGTTTTTGTAGTTTCCTTTGTTTCTATTTTATTGATTTCAGGCCTCAATTCGATTATTTCCTCCAGGGTGAGTTTGCTTCTTTTTGTTCTAGAGCTTTTGTTAATTTCCTAGTGTGGGATTTCGCTAGCTTCTTCACGTAGATATGTCATGCTATGAACTTGCCTCTTATCGCTGCTTTCATTGTGTCACTTAAGTCTGGGTATGTTGCCCTGTCATTTTCATTGAATTTTAGGAAGGCTAATTTCTTTACTTCTTCCTTGACCCAGTGTTGATTCAGCTGAGCACTGTTCAATTTTTATGAATTTATGGGCTTTCTGCAACTAGTGTTGTTGCTAATTTCTACCTTTATGTCATGGTGATCCGACATGATACCTGGGTTATTTCAATTATGTTTGTATCTGTTGAAGTTTGTTTTGTTAATAAGTATGTGGTCAATTTTAGGGAAGGTTTCATGGGATGGTATGTGTGTGGTTGGAACGTTCTATAGATGTCTGTTATAGGCCCATTTGAATCATTACACATTACACATTAGTTCCTTTATTTCTCTATTAAGTTTCTGTCTGGAAGATCTGTGCAATGGTGAGAGTGGGGTGTTGACGTATAGGACTTAATGTGTGACTTAACCTTTAGTAATGTTTCTTTAATAAATGAGGGTGCCCTTGTATTTGGGGCATAGATGTTCAGAATTGAGAATTCATCTTGGTGCATTTTTCTTGTGATGACTATGAAATGCCCTTTATCTTTTTTCATTTTAATATTCTAGTATCTAACAAAAAAGTCTATTTTTGTTAGATACTAGGATATCTACACCAGCTTGTTTCTTGGGTCCATCTGATTGGAAAGTCTTTTCCCAACCCTTTCCTCTGAGGTAACATCTATCTGTGAGGTTGAGGTGTTTTTCTTGTAAGCAACATCAGGATAGATTCTGTTTTCACATCCAATCTGTTAGCCTATGTCTTTGAGTTGAGTCCATTAATATTAAGGGATAATAATGATCAGTAATTGCTAATTCTGTTGTTTTTGTTCTTGGTATTGTGTGCGTGTTTCTCTTCTTAGGGATTTGCTGGAGTGGAATTACCTTTGCCTGTGTTTTTGCGGATGTAGCTTAACTTCCTTGGGTTGGGGTTATCCATCCAGTTTGTTCTGTAGGGCTGGATTCGTGGATAGGTATTGTTTAAAACTGGTTTTGTCATGGAATATTTTGTCTTTTTGGTCTATGGTGAAAGTTTTGTTGAAGATAGTAGTATGAGCTGGCATTCCTAGGTTTGGGTTTTCTTTGTTTCCTCTACCTCAGTTTACAAGTCTTGAACCATTTCCTTCATCTGTTTGATTGCTTTTTCTTTAAGGGCTTTGCTGAGCTCTTCCAATTTTTCGTTTGTCTTTTTCTCCACTTATTTGTTTTTTTTTTCTTTCTTCTGTACATTTCTTTAAGGGAAATTTTCATTTCCTCTTTAAGGGCCTCAATTATCCTCATTAAGTTACTGTTTTTATTTTTCTCTTTCTGGTTTTTCGAGACAGGGTTTGGAGACTGCCTTGACACTCACTCTGTAGACCGGGCTGGCCTCAAACTCACAGAGCTCCGCCTGCCTCTGCCTCCTGAATAAAGGTATTTTTAATGTGTGCTTCGTCTGTGTTGTTGTGGAACCACTAGTCTGGTGCTGCTGTTCTGCTCATTAGGTTGTAGTCTTACTTGTCTACTCATCTCTTCCTCTATTCAGTAGAGGTGGAGCCTGTGCTTCAGGGGACCCCTCTCCTCCTCCAATTGGTGGAAAGCTCCTTCAGGTACAGGGAGGGCTGAGCCTCTGGTGGAGATGGGCACAAGGGTCAGAAGGTTGCTCTTCATGGTGCAAATGCGGCCACATTTTGCCCACTTGGCTGCTGACACCTTCTCTTACCCAGTCAGCTGCTCTTGTTTTTTTTTTTTTGTTTGTTTGTTTGTTTTTTTAAAGACAGGATCTTACTATATAGTCCAAGCTTGTCTGGAACTCATCATGATCCTCCTACCACGGCCTCTTGGGTGTTAAACTACAATACACATGTTTTTTGTTGTTGTTTGTTTTTCCTGGGACAGGGTTTCTCTGTACACAGCCTTGGCTGACCTAGAACTTGATTTATAGACCAGTCTGGGCTCTAACTCACAGAGATTTGACTGCCTCTGTTTCCCAAGTCCTGGGATTAAAGGCGTGCACTACCACCGTCCTGCATTCAAACTTATTAATTCAGAGAGGACTGTGAAATATTCCTTAACACTTTATGAATATATGTCGTTATGATTGGTTTAATAAACAAGTTGACTGGCTGATAACTGAACAGGATAAGTTGAGTTGGGAGAGAAAAACTGAGAATGCTGGGAGAAAGAAGGGTGGAGCTGGGGAGTCACCAGCAGATGCAAAGAGAAGCAAGATGCACATGCTATACCGAGAAATGGTAGCAAGTCACATGGCGACGGATAGATAGTATGTGCTAATTTAAATGTAAGAGTTAGCTAGAAGCAAGCCTGAGCTATCGGCGAAGCATTTACAATTAGTAGTTTTTCTGAGCCATTATTTGAGAAGAAACCTCCACCAACACAGGATTTCTTGTACCAGGGTAATCTCACCCACTATGCAATCGAGGTGGGTGACCCTGAGCACCCGATCCTCCTGCGTTGACGTCACAGTGCTGGCATCCCAAGTGCACTGATACACCTGGTTCGCTTTTTAGTCTAGGTTGGCCTGAACTCACTGAGTGGCTGGGTTACATGAGATGGCTCCCACACTTGGCTAATTCTCACATCCTCATTCCAGCGTTACTGTGAACTTTGACCTTGTTATGATATGACAGTTCTGAGTCTTCTAAATGCAGATCTTTTGTCACCTCCTTGAGCACTTATCACATTATAACTGTCAAGATATTTTGTTGTGATGTCACTCTTACCATGAATCATGAACAACCTAAGGCAGCAGCTCTCAGCCTGTGGGTTGTGACTCCCTTGGGGGTTGAAATGACCCTTTCACAGGAGTCCTCTAAGACCTTTGGAAAACAGGTATTTACGTAACAGTAGCAAAATAACAAGGTCACAACAACATGAGGAACTGTACTAAGGGTCACTGCATTAGGAAAGTTAAGAGCCACTGTGTTAAAGGACTGCAACATTAGGAAGGCTGAGAACCACTGTGTTAAATAAAGGGTCACAGTATTAGGAAGGTCAAGAACCATTGTGTTAAAGGATCACAGAGTTAGGGAGATCAAGAACCACTGTACTGCAGCATTAGCTACAATGGCAGAGGGCTTGTTCTCCTAGCTCTGTGATCTGACACCAAGTACAGGATGCATTGCCAGATACCAATCAGTCATGACCCGAAAGAATCAAATCAATAGATACCTATTGTTGACAAAATTTTAAGTATACATAAAGTAAAGGAGTTTCGTGGTTTGGCATTTTTTTCCATCACAATCTTGTAACAAAAAGGAATACCTGAAGGCATTTGTCTTCCAGAATTTCAAATTCCAAACAGAAAGAGCCTCTCATTGGTTTTTTCCATTTTTTGAGGCAGGGTCTCTACAGAGCCCTGGTTGTCCTGGAACTCACCCTGTACACCAGGCTGGCCTACAACTCACAGAGATCCACCTATCTCTGCCTCCTGAGTGCTAGAACTAATGACATGCACCACGATGTCTCTCACTGCATAGCTGCCTGATCCAGGGATCCTCCAGACCCACCTTACAAGGCTAGAATGGAAGGCAGGGCATGAGACACACCCAGACTTATGTGAGTTCAGTCTTCCTGCTCTCATGCAAGCACCTGGATTGCTGAGTCATCCCCCAGTCTCTCTTAATAGACAATTAAGACATTCTTCACCTAGTGTGAGGATTTATTTTTAAGATTCATTTTTGTTAATGTGCTCATGTGTCTATGCCTCCTGAGTACAAGTACTGGTGTAGGTCAGAAGAGGGGTAGAGCACAGAAGGCTGGACAGTGCACTCAGCAGCTCAGGACACAAGTGCACGCTGTGCCCCTGATCCACAGCTGCACTCAAGCAAGCACTTGAAAGGTGAGGCAGTAGGATCAGATTAAGGGTTATCTTCAGTCTGGAAGACATGAGACGATCTCAAAAAACTAAAAATTTTGAAGACAAGATTGAACACAGATCTAAAAGGAAAATATCTACTTAACTAAATCTTTTAAAAAAGGAAAAGGATTTTTACCATGAGGGGATACTTGAAGTAGTCACTATCGAGGGAGCACTCTTTGGCAGCAAGAGCCAGGCCTTGTAAAATAGGGATAAAGATCTGTAAGGAAAAAAAGAAAAGCACAAGCATTAGGTCTAAGGAAAATGAAATCTACAAGCACATCAGACAAGGTCCTGGGTGTGGGGGTCCAGGAATCCTGCTCTTTCCCCAAGGAGAACCATACCTTTCTTCTGTAAAAACCAATGTGGAATTTTGAGTGTTGACCCATTGGACAATCAGGCTCACCATAAAGGAATGGAGCTTGATTTTCCAGAAAAGGATGTTGACGGACACTAACGCTACTTTTTAGTAGAGTTATCCACTAATGCAAAAAAGAGCTAAGCTGATAACAGACAGGGAAAATATGAATAAGCATAAAACATTTCCCACCATCGAGAATTTATCTTTCAGGACTCAGTACTATCCTTCTCTTGTGGGCTCAGGAACCAAACTCAGGTCATCCGGCCTGCACAGCAAGTGCTTTTCTCCACTGAGACAAGCCAGCCAGGCCTAGCATCATATTACTTTTGTGACCTGCACAATGCAAATAATTCGTTTATTTTCCGAGTAAGTACCTACTGGTGTAAATAACCATTTCGGGTATTCATCTCCAGTCTTACATGTGTTTCTGTTTGTTCATCTAGAAGCATCACCCAGACATTAAAAGGAAGAGGAACGTCCAGTTGAGGACTTAGCAAATTGTGTCAGTCATCTTGTTAGGTGGAAAGGTAGACTGTGACCCACAGTGGCCTGAAGCCAGCAGCTCCCTGTCATGCAACACTTCCCTCCAGATAAAACTCATGGTTTGGTAGCGCACACCTTTAATCCCAGCACTCAGTAGGCAGAGGCAGGAGGATCTCTGTAAGTTCCAGGGCAGCCTGGTCTATATAACGAGTTCCAGGACAAGCTCCAGAGCTATAGAGAAAACCTTGTCTCAAAAAACAAACAAACAAAACAACTCACGGTAACACAGGAAGGACAATGGCATTCAAGCCAGCTAGCCCAAGAAGGCACCAGCCTCCTGTAAGCCATACAGACCTATCTGTTCTGTTAGCTGCTACTGAGTTCAAGCCACCTTCTTGATAAAACCGCCAAAGGTAACTTTGTAGCCTCTGTATAGCATGTCCCTTTCAGGTGGCTCTTAGCCTGATTTTAAAACTACTCTGGGTTCCTTCAAAAGGAAACGTATTGGTTAATGTTGATCACACCCACAGAGCAAGTTCCAGGACAGCCTCCAAAACAGGGAAAAACCCTGTCTCAAAAAACAAAAACAAAACAAAAAACAAAACAAACAAAAAAACAAAAAAACAAAAGAAAACAAAACAAACAAAAAAAAACAAAAGGAAAAAGAAATAGTATAAATAGTCATCTATGATAATAGTTAACTTATACTCAGGTTTGTCAATTTTTCTAGATGTACAGAGATATATTTCAGATGGATAGGTACTTTAGAGACCTATAGAACATGACATTCAAAATGTTGAAAGAACTTAGGCTTTCCATGAAAATGAGACATGTCAGCTCCTAGAAACACCAATCTAATTCAATGAAGATGATGGGCAATGAAGAAACTACATATGGAGCTGCTTTCTTTATGGCAAAAGCTGGCCAGTTGGACAAGAAACTGCTCTTGCCTGGACTGCTTGACTGTTGCTGTATAAACTAGACATGCAGGACCGACATGAACATGACCGCTAAACAAGATGGGACAGTCCTTCGGGGTTCTTGGCTATAAAGAGTCTGCCACACATTCTACAGGACACAGAAGAAATCAACTGACAAACTGCCAGAACAAGGCAGAAGAGATATTCAAGCTTCACTGAAAAGTCTGCCAGATACTCTGGGGCCATCGGCTCAGGAGGGATGCCCAATGTTGCAGGTGAACTCTGGGTGACTGTCAAGGCAGCCAGATGTTTTGTCATTTTCAGAACTTTGGAAACTGCTAGCAATGTACTTCCTGTTTACTTATGTATACCCTTCTGGGGTCTTTGGTGGAAATGAAGATAGTTACAATTTTCCTTTGGTATAAGAAGATAAATTAGATATAAAACTTTAGACTCACAGAGATAGGATAGATGATAGAGTATTTACTTTAATTTTGCCAAAGGAAAATTCTTGCTTGATAACTGTTTTGTTATATGTAATTTTACTATGTCAAAATTAAAACCCTCCTTTTTTTAATTAGTTAGAAAAGGAAAGATGATATGGGATGTCCTTTTATATGCTGTGAACATGTGTGGCTTTTATTGGTTGATGAATAAAGCTGTTTTGACCAATGGCCAGGCAAAATATAGGTAGGTGGGAAATCCAAACAGAGTAACTGAGAGAAAGAAGGTGGAGTCAGAGAGATTCGGAAGGAATATCATCCTGGAGCATCTCCAGTAAGTCACAGCCTTGTGGCAATACACAGATTAGTGGGTTAATTTATAAGAGAGAGCTAGCCAGTAATATGTCTGAGTCATTGGCCAAAACAGTAACCCATATTCCCAGGCAGTAGTACGGGGGGTTGAGAGAGGATCTCAGTCCCTTTGGACGGAGGAAGGGTAGAGGTAGAAAGCCACTGTGGCTACTGCCTGCTTCTCTAATCTTTGATGTTTTTACCCCAATATCTGACTCCCCATTTTTATTGGTAAGGATTAATTAGACTTATGTTTCAATGACGTTCTTTTTTTTTTGGTTTTTCGAGACAGGGTTTCTCTGTATTGTTTTGGAGGCTGTCGGTCCAGCCCGGCCTCGAACTCACAGAGATCCGCCTGCCTCTGCCTCCCGAGTGCTGGGATTAAAGGCGTGCGCCACCACCGCCTGGCTTCAATGACGTTCTTATTGGTTTCCCTTATAGCATACATATTATTATGTATGGATTTCATTGAGGTTTTCATGCACACACACAATAATATATTTTATTGTATTCACCCCATTACACTCCCGTCTCCCTTTCCCATTCCTACTAGTCCCTACCCTATTTTCATGCCCTGCTGACCTCCTTTCTCACACCCCGCCCATGCACATTCTTTCTTTCTTCTTATGACCCAATGAGTTTACTTAGGGGCTACTTGCAGAAGCATGAGTGAAAGCTGTTCATAGGAGCATGGAGACTTTTACCAATGGCTGTATCACTCTGGGCGTTGGTGGCACACGCCTTTAATCCCAGCACTCGGGAGGCAGAGGCAGGCGGATCTCTGTGAGTTCGAGGCCAGCCTGGTCTACAAAGTGAGTTCCAGGACAGCCTCCAAAACAATACAGAGAAACCCTGTCTCGAAAAAACAAAAAACAAAACAAAAACAAAACAAAACAAAAAAAAAAAAAAAAAAAAAGAAAGAAAGTATCTTTCTAAGCCACAACAACATCTATTGCATGGGAGGGGTGGAGTTTCAAGAGCCCCTCCCCTACTCCATGACATGATAGATCTGGACATCAGTGTAGACACACACTTACGGAAAAGCTGGAGTATTGATTGGGCCACTGTACCTGCTTGAACACCTCCTCATCCTGGTGAGTGGTCCTCACCAGTTCTTGAATGAAGCCGTACGGGAGATTCCTGCACAGCATATACGGCACAAGGAAGGAAGGCTGTTGCAAGGACCTGCGGGGCCAGGAAAACCAAGGGCTGTGATGGAAGCATGAGGGATGTCATGGCCACATAGGCCACCCAGTCACGTAGAACCTAACCAGTATTCTGCGCAACCATTCCTTAGGCAAAGCATGACCTTTTCTAACACTGGGGACATCTGGAGTTCTAAATGAGACAGACACCAGGAGAAATCACAAAAACAGCTTTTCTTTGCAGAGAGCTTTCAAAAGGAAACATCAGGGCTGGGAGGTACTTTGGTGACAAAGCTTTGGTCTAGTGTATGGAAAGCCCCAGGTTAGATCCTCAGCAATGGAAAATAAATAGTTCTTTAAAAATGAATTATGGGGATCAGAGAGACGGCACAGTATTAAGAGCTCTTGTAGAGGACTTGTTTGATTCCCGGCACACAATTCAGAAGACCCAACACCTTCTTCTGACCTCCAAGCGCACCCCAGGCATATGGTACAGCTACACACAAGAAAGCAAACGCCACATATGCACATGCGGATTTAAAACCCCTTTGAATAATGAAAAGAATTATTTATTGCCTAGTTTATTTGTTAATGCCTCATCCACACTGGAAAAAAAAAAGATTAGCAATAAACTGTTTCACAGTTTTTCTTTTTTAATACTTTTTTTTTTAATTTGGTTTAGTTTGGTTGGTTTCTCTGTGTAGCCCTGACTGGCCTGGGACTCGCAGAGATCTACCTGCCTCTGCCTCCCAAGTGCTGGGATTAAAGGCATGAGTCACCACCATGCCTCTTGCTGTGGAGCTCAGGAAGGTTCAAACTAGTAAGGGATCCTAAACCTCCACCTCCCAAATCCTGGGATCACAGGCACATGGCACCACACAGCCTAATTTTCCCTCATTTTGAAAAGATTTTAAAAACATCAGTTACAGTACGGGGGGGATAGCCAGAGGGAAAAAATGCAATCTTTCCATATTTTTGCATAAGAAATATAAAACATAGGGCTGGAGAGCTGTGATATCAGTGACTTCAGAGCACTGACTGCTCTTTCAAAGGATCTGGGATCAATTCCCAGTGACTAACAACTGTCTCTAACTCCAGTTCCAGAGGGATTCAATGCCTTCTTCTGGCCTCTATGGCCACTGGACATGCATGTGATACACACATATACAAGCAGATAAAACACCCATACACATAAAATTTTAAAAAATATGCAATCTTTTATTAACTGTGAAAGTTCTATAGAATTTTCTAAAAACAGGCAAATCACAGCATTTTTGCCAATTTCCAAATCATTTTCCAACTACTGTATTTTGTTTCATCTTGTTTTCATGAGGGTGTCTCACCATGAATCCCGGGCTGGCCTAGAACTTACTGCACAGGTCAGACCGACTCAGCATTAGCAGTGCTCTGCTCTTGCTAGCATTACAGGTATGTGCCCCTCACCTGGCTTCCTCCCACTATTCTCCAATACCCATAACAGAAACCAATGTAGAGACACATGGAACATGATCGTTTTGTCACAAGCATCAACTAACTTCAAACATTAGGTTTTAAATTAAATTATTAATATTATGCTTTGTTTTAATATATTTCAAAAAGTACACAGAGCTCTTCAAATATAAATTCTTTTTAAAAATATGCTCTGTACTATTTAGGAGATGGAGAAAACACTACTTCACAGTATCAGGTACAGGTCATTAGATGCAATCTACTTTTATCTTATGTGTCCGTCTTTTCCTGCATGAGTATCTATGTACCACTCCACATGCATATAGTGTCCTAAGAGGCCAGAAGAGGGCATCAGATCTCCTGGAACTGGGGTTACAGGATACCATGATCCACTTTTAGATGCTGGGAATCAAACCAGCAAGAGCAACCAGTGCTCTTAACTTCTGAACCATCTCTCCAGCCTGAGGCTTGATAACTGAATCAAAACGCATTCCCTGTACAGGTCAGAGTTAAACTGACACAATGTAGAACAATTAGAAGATGACATCCTGAGACAGTACTCTACCAACAGCAGAAACGTGAGTGTCCGGCATACCTGGGCTGCGTGAGGGAGCCTTGCAGCACTAGTGCGGTGTGTGAGATGCACTGCGAACGGATGTTGCTCAGAAGCTGGCTGACGGCTGGCTGGCTGCACATCTGGAGAAGAGAGCTAACAGTCAGGACAACACAACTGGAGAGGGTTAGAGGAGAGTGATGGCTAGAAGATGCCCTGCGTCCCTCTCCCTAGGCTCACAATGGACAAACCACAGCAAGCGTGTCACTGTCCTGTGTCCCCGACCCGTGCCACCTGTCCTGAGGTGTGTGAGGGACACAGAGCAGCGAGTACGGCACACCCATCCTGCTTCCTTTTTGGGGGGTGTTACACCATGCTTTGAGGCAGGGTCTTTTATACCATAACCTAGGTTGGTTTCAAACTCACAGCAATCCTCCTGTCCCAGACGACCAGAGTGCAGAACTGATGAGGGTGTACCACACCTACCTAGCATTTCTTTGATTTTGCTAAGATTAGGGACATACCTGAAGAGGCCACCACAACTTTGAATCTACCATGGGGCAACTGATTTCTTTAGTGGGACTAGAATTAGACCGAGAACCATGAATGAGAAGATAAGGAATGAGATGGTGCTGGGCATAGTGATGCATGCCATTGATCCCAGTTGCCAGAGGCAAGCAGGTCTCTGTGAGTTCATACAGAGCTACATAGTTGAGACTCCATGGGGGGGGGGGTAACACTTCTTAGGTTTAGTATAGTCCTGCAGCTTGTTATTTTATAATTCTGACAATGATAGCTCAGAGGGTCACCACTTACTCATGCATGGCTGATCGGATTCACTAAGCAATGGTGAAAATCCAAGCCCATGGTCTAATTACACGTTCTGCAATCCACAGCATGGATTTGGATGTTTTCATAATGATTATATCAGGCAACTGGCATTATTGATTCAATATAAACATGCTCCTTGAAGGCGCCCATGCCACAGGCTTGGCAGCAAGCTGATGGGCCTTGTAGGGGTGAGGGGCCCAGGGCTGTGGCTCCAGCTTCAGCAATGTGCTGACTGTTAGGCTGGCGAGTGAGGTCTCCCAAAAGGAAGTTGGTCAGAGTGTGACTGAGTAGGATAGCTCATCTGGGACTCTTCCTCTGTTTTGGTTTGCTTCCTGGCCACCATGACAAGAGCAATGTGGCTGTCCACCATGATGATGTTCACCACATCCCCAAAACAACACTCAGCTGATTATGTGTGCGAGCAAAACACACTTTTCTTCCTTGAAGGTTCCTGAGTATTTTGTCCTAGCAATGGAAAACTGACAATTATGAGCAATTACCAGGAGCATGTGTGACACAGGCAACACCCGTCTAAAGGACAGACAAAGGAAAGGACTCTGGGGCCAAGGCTCTCAGACTCGTGACGTGAGCTCTGTGGTCACGGACAGGTCCTAAGCTGCCAGCACACTGCCTGGTCCCAACAGCCGCTCCATCACTCCTGACTAATGCACAGACAACTTCTCCTTGGCAAGCACACACGACACAACAGGCTTTCTTTCTTTCCAGTCAGTCCACCTCCCATTACCTTTGGTGCTTTTTTTTCTTCTATTCCAACTCGGTCAAAGCACTCGATGAGGTAGTTCAGCATGTCTGTCTCCTTGCAGGGTTCAATGGTGAAATGATCACTGTATGAATCCCAGTTACTTGCTCCGCCAGAGGCTCCCAAACTTTGGACAAGAGAAAAAACATTGACAATGCTTACCTCTTCTCGACCATCTTCATGGAGAAACTTGTCACTCTGCAGCAGAAAGCCTGTTAGGAGCCCTGCATCCACGGCGAAGCACAAACACCCATGCAGCCAGACTGGAGTTAACTCATGTTTTATCTGCTCCCAGCCCAACCAGTGGTCGCTTGTAAACCTATTCTAGCCTGTCAATGGGGCTGGGCCTTTCTGGGGGTGGCAACTTAAATCTGAAGGAGTTGGAATTGTTGCTGACTACTGAGCAGCTAGAAACAGCTACAGGCTCCAAAGTCAAATCTAGCAGCATCCCTTGGGCAGACATGAGCGGCCAGACAGTGGACATTCTCAGATACTATCTCTCACCCTCAGAATGTCTACACAGACCTGAACAGACTTTGCTCAGCACTGACAACAGGCCGGAACTTACACAAAATGCCAAGGCAGAAGGAGACATGAATGTTTCTGCTATTAAAATTTCAAATGAATAAGGAAGAAACAAAATAAACAAAGGTCGTTCACAAGGAGTAAGATGCTGTCATTCTGAGTTTGTTACCTGCACTGTTCTGAACCTCCACATCACCAGCAGGGGGCAGTGTGACACAGTCATTTATAATGACTATTACCAAACAAAGGCCAAACATCACACTGGTTAGGTTCAAGGATATGGAGTAAAGCCGAGGTTAACCTTGAACAGACTCAAACCAAACTGGGTGTTTAACTGCCACACTCATCTGTTCTATACAAAGATTACAAAGAGATTAAGACAGAGGAAGAAGCAAAGGCATTTAAAATAAACAGAGTTAGCAAAAATGTCACATATCACTTAAGGAAGATGATAAGGGAGGAAGCATACCAGGACTCTGATAGACACAGCTAGCTCTCCTTCATCCTCACACAGACAAAGCGGAGGACCTAAAAGGCCCAAAACTGAGATAGCAACAATATGCTATACACCCTGAGGTGTACTGGCATGGAGAGGAACTCCTCAGAGCAGGCGTGAGATGAAAGCAGGGTGTGGAAATAACTTGGGGCACAGGAAGACGTTTATAAAGCAAAGGCTTTCAGCTGAGAGTCCAACAAACCCGAATATTATAACGTAGAACCCAGTTTGATAAAAACTTTAAAAGAAGGGAGGAATGAGGCCAAGGGGCAGTCCAGATGAAAGGAAAGGGCAGGCCTCTGGGCTGCAGGGCGGGGCGCCTCACTAGACCCAGGACAAAGGCAGCCTGGGGACCTGAAGGAGTGGGAGTTTATGAGCAAGGCAGCAGTGAGTTTTTGGTGCGCCTTAGTCACCCATGGCATGTCTGGTAGGTCCTGACCAGCTAGACAACGGAAACGCGCAACATGAGACAAAACACAGGAGAAACTCTAGCAGCAACAGATGAAGACCTGTCCCTTTGTGCGGAGTGAAGGAGTCCTGGGAATAACCGAGGGACCCCTGTCTACCCACAGCAACCTCAGTTTATCTGTGACCCCCAGTTATGTTCACTGCACAATCCAAAGACGAGCTTTGCAGCAGCTCTCACAGATGTCAGTGAAAACACACACTCAGGGTTTAAATTGAAAATTTTAAACTATTTTCCCCATAAGTCCACATTTCAAACATTTTCTGAAATTAAAAAAAAGGTACATTTGCTACCAACAGCTCCTTACCAGCTGCAAGCAGTCAGTATGATGCAATCCCAGACTAGCACGTGATCCTGTGCCTGAGGAAACGCAGCATGCACGGTGCTGGTGCATGCAACTGCAGCTGCGTCACTACACATTGCCAGCAACACACTCCAACTGACATTCACTGTTGCTTCAAACATTTCTACAAGTGTCCCGCTGGAATGTGAAGAGCGACAGGGGACAGGGACATTAGCATACACCTGTAATCCCAGCATTCAGATGGCAGAGGTTCCTAGCAGTCTTGGACAACATAAAAGCAGCTAAGAATGTATCAAGGGATTTCCAAAGATGTTTCATGAATCAGACAGCCAATTAGCTGGTTTACATCAGAAGAAAGAAGTGAGATGAACCTTACCCCAGCACAGAAATATGCAGAAGACCCTGTGTCTATCAGTATGGTGCTTGATGTGCCCGAGACAACCATGACCTCAGGGTTACTCTCATCAACACGGAGAGTCAGTGGTCAAGATGAGTGTAAAGATTCTCAATGCATTCAGAGAATGAATATAGCACCAAAAGAGAAAGTAGTGTAATTATATACCTGGATTCATGACATCACTAAACACAAAAATATTTAGGCGAGGTTCAGTGGTCTGGACCTTTAGTCCTGACTGTTTGGAAGGCTGAAGAGAGAGGATAGATGGCATCCTGGAGTTGAAACCCAGCACCAACAACACAGTAGATTCCCCCTCCACCACACTAAATAACTCACTTTTATTACTAAAAGGTGGTGGTTTATAATTCTTTCAGAACTCTGGCATTCTAAAACCTGGAAACATCCCATATTTAGTTACAAGGACAACTTAAAAACTTCCAGCACCATTTAAGAAGCTGTAGGTCATTTTCTGACAACTGAATTAATCAGGTAATCATCACACATGACAGGAATGTAGCAGAATGCTCTAAAAACAATGAAAATATTTTTGAAGAAAATAATACATGCTCCATATCCAGACAGACTGAATTACACTTCAAATGCACAAACACCTGCTTCTAATTATTTTTTTTTCATTTTTCGAAACAGGGTTTCTCTGTATTGTTTTGAAGGCTGGCCTCGAACTCAAGAGATCCGCCTGCCTCTGGGATTAAAGGCATGCACCACCTGCTTCTTAAAGGGCTCATTCACTTCCTTCTTGAATGGAAAATCATTTTCCCATTTACTAAGCTGCGAGCATGTGTGCGTGCATGCGGTCACCACTGAGCACTATTCCTCAGGAGCATGGGGAGTTCTTAGAGCAACGTGGAGGCAAGTGCAGAGAGCAGCGGTTAGTGCCCAGGCTGGGGAGGGGCCAAGAGGGAGATGGAAACTTCCTCTTGGATGCTCTTCCCACGCTGCACCCTCTAACAAACCTCAGTGCGCACATCAACCAGCTGTTAATATTCCCTTCTCTGCTCATCATCTTCACTGGGATAACTGGGCAAACAGGTAAGAATGCAAGCAAAATAAAGCATCAATTTGAAGTTACCACGTTACAAGAAACACTGAGAACGCTTTCCTGGTGGTGTCTGAATCACAAGGTCTCTTCCCTCACTGCCTCGTCCCTTAGAACAGTTCTTCCCATAGGAGTTTTCCTTCCCTCACTCAATTACACCTGTGCTCCTTTATCTTAAAATTACAATTTATTCATTAAATGTGTGAGTGCATGTGAGTACATGCAGGGGTGTGTGTGTGTGTGTGTGTGTACATGAAACACAGCACCACTAGGGAAGTCAGAAGAGATCTTCAGAAGTCAGCTCTCTCCTTTTCTCCTTCCACTGGTCCTTTGCCAGAGTAGGATGCTCTTGAGGTGAAGCACTCCACCCCCACAATTCCTTACTTGTAAGTCTAGACTCTGCATATGAGAGCCTGGATCCCTATGCTTACTGCAGTGATCTGTAAAGCATGAACTCGGCTGACCCTCAACTCTTGGGGTACTTTCTTTCCTTTCTGTCTTTGAGTTTTAAAGGTTCAGGTGTAAAGGTCGTTCCTTTCGTAGAGGCTGGTTTTCTTGGAAGGCACTTTGCTTCTTAACTGTGTAAGAGTCATAAGGGATTGTTTTCCAGGTTTCTTTCTTTCCTTCCTTCCTTCCTTCCTTCCTTTTTACTTATTTGGTTGTTTGAGACAACCTGGCTGTCCTGGAACTCTCTCTGTAAACCAGACTGAACTCAATTCAAGAGACCCACCTGCCTTTGCCTTCTGAGGTGCTGGGATTACAAGTGTGCGCCACCATGCTCGGTTTCGCTCTTAATGTGATCATTACTGTTACATAGAAAAATGATTCATTTTCCTGAACCCTGCCACCTCGCGGAAAGTGCAGACCTCCAGACCTCTATGGTGAGCTAGTGGTAAGCTACATCCTCTGACATTCAGACAGGCTTTACATGTACAATAGACTTCATAGTTTTCTAAGATAAAAAGAAGGCTCCATGGCTAAAGGCATTGGCTGTTCCTGCAGATGACCCAGATTTGGTTCCCAGCACCGACAACGGCTGCTTAAAATCATCTGTAAGTCCAGGATATCCAAGAACATCTACATGTTTGTGGTACACACACAAACACTCAGGCACATATACATACACATAAAACAATAAATGAATATAGCGTTCAAAAGGTACAGAATCAGGCTGGAGCAATGGCTCAGTGATTAAGGAGCTGTTATTAAAGAGGACCTGAGTTCAATGCCTAGCACCCTTATGTCAGTTAACAACTGTTGGGAGCACAACACAAAGATCTTAGAGAAACCAGGAATGCTAAGCACACAGGATTGTCTTTCCAGGGGGAAAGATGAAAATACCCATTCTTCCCTCCAGAAAGCTGAGACTGGACGTGATTCACAGCCTGGTGATCTGTATCATCTGCTGGGCCTGGCCGCAACAAGCTCTAAAAAAACAGGACTAGGGATGGCTAGAATCAAAATGACACAACCAAAGGCTCCTCCAGGTTCCGACAACCAGGACCAGGGGTGGCTAACAGACCAAATGACCTCTATAGTATCTGCATGGCCAAGACTAAGGCAGACCCTTAGGCTCTTATGTTGTAGGATATTTGTGTACTATGTGAAAGGAGAGTCTGACTACATATGGCGTTAAGCATGGGGGGGTCGAATATCCAAACAGGGCCTGGGAAAGTGGTCTCTGGGGTAGGCCCCGTGTATGAAGGCCCAGATCTTTTAAGAGGCCGTGCTGTGAAGCCGAGCACTGAACCACAGCGAACCAGGTAAGAAAGCTGCGGGCACACAGTAAAGCAGCCCAGACCAAGAAAACCTCTAAACAGATACTGTTAAAAAAAAAAAAAAAAAAGTGGGAGCCAGGCGTTGATGGCGCATGCCTTTAATCCCAGCACTCGGGAGGCAGAGGCAGGCGGATCTCTGTGAGTTCGAGGTCAGCCTGGTCTACAAGAGCTAGTTCCAGGACAGCCTCCAAAGCCACAAAGAAACCCTGTCTCGAAAAACCAAAAAAAAAAAACTGTGATTGGTTTAATAAAGAGATGAACAGCCAATAGCCAGGCAGAAGGTATAGGTGGGACTCCTCCTTAGAGAGAAGCTTATGAGAAGATAATGGAAGCTGGCAGAGGAGACGCCAAAGACACATAGAGGGAGTCTGACACACAGAATGAAAGGTAAAAGTCACATGTAGATTATATAGAAATGGGTTAATTTAAATCATAAGAACTAGTTAGTAACGAGCCCAAGCTAGGGCCTAGCTTTTGTAATTAATAACAAGTCTCCGTGTGTTTTTTGTTTTTTGTTTGTTTTGTTTTGCTTTTTTGTGAGCCTACAGGGACTCCTCAAACAACTGTCTGTAACTCCAGACCCAGAGGATCCAAGGGCACCAGGCAGGCACCAATGTCATACATACAGACAGGTACAGGCAAAAGAGCCTACCCATGAAATAAAATAAACTTAAAAAAAAAATCAAATCTCCTACACTTCTTCCTTTCTTAGTTATAACCCATCTACTTACTTGTTGCATTATTACTCTGGCCAACAATCCAATATCATAGCAGGAGGATTGAGTTACAGGACATCCTCAGTTACATAAAGTATCCTATAGATAACTCAAAGCAAAACAGATGAACTCCTTTTATAAAGCATGGCAAGTCATTCCTATGGGTGGCTCGCCACTCAACAAATTAATGAGTTCTTTTGCTATCTCTTGCTGCTCTGACACCCATGTAGTTTCAAGTTCCGTTTAGTGTTACATGTTCTGGGACCATCTTTGTCCACTTTATCTGGTATCTATTAGTAATATTTTTAAATGATTTATTTATTTTTGTTTTGTATGCATTGTTGTTTTGCCTGCCTACATGTCTGTGTGAGGGTTTCACGTCCCCTAGTACTAGAACTACAGACAGCTATGAGAGGCCATGTGGGTGCTGGGAACTGAACCCGGGACCTCAGGAAGAGCACCCAGTGCTCTTAACTGCTAATCCATCTCTCCAGCCCTCTGTCAGTAATCTACAATTAGACTACCGAACAGATAGTCGAGGATCTACTAGTCACCTACAATTAGATACCTGACGGACAATCTAGATCATCTCATCTCAGTGTGGCAAAAGAAGGTTATGCAAGTGTTGGTAAGGATAGAATCTTCTGAACCTAAAGACAGTTGTCCCTTCAGCACAGGAACAGAAAGGACACAAAGACTCCCAGCAGGAAGATGACTAGTAAAGAAGCAGAGCAGACACAGAAGAACAAAGGGTCAGAAACAGTGCAGTGGGAAGGTGCAGAATGTGGGCTCTGACTCTGGCTTTGAGTCCACGTCCCAGCAAATAGAGCAGAGGCACAATGCTGGGCGACGGACGTCAACCCACCAGGACAGACAGCAGCTAGCACAGAGCCTGGATCTCAGGTGAAGTCAAATGCCAGGAATCTAGGAAGAGGCATTAGTAAAAGCAGCATGTGACTTAAAGAATTAAAACACGGCTCCCACGGAAAACTCAAGGCAAGCGCATTAGAAGTGCTTTCACCACGTATGGAAAGCCATTCCTGTGGATGTCTGCCTTGTGAGCTGTAGACACACGAGACTTTGCAGGCATGAGAAAGACACTATTTATTCTCTTTGGGGAATGTTTACTTGGAAAATGGTAATAAAATATTCAACCTAATATAAACACCAACCTTTTGGAATCAATATCCAACGACATTCTTCTCTCTCTTCACGAGCTGTCAGGGTTTATCAAGTGTACCTAGCTCCTTCTGCAGTCTCTATTTATAGTTTGAAGTTATTTGTGAGCAGTGCTGGGCACAAATACCAACTGGGCCCAGAGGGAAGTTCAGGAAGAGAGCAAAGTTGTTAAGGCAATGAAAGAGTCAGAGGCGTTACTTTATTTGTGTGCTCAAATCATGTAGAAACCAAGCGCTTTTAACTCAGTTTTCAGGAGGAACATTCAGTTGGACGCTGCTTCACTGAGACACAGGAGATGTTCAAGGAGACTCAAAGTCAGATATAAGAGAGAATCCCAGTTACACTGGACAGCATGACCCACACATTTGTCCACATTGCCCAGACAGAACCTGATGGAAGGGATGGACACACACACCGAAACCGCAGTGCCATTCCTAAACACCTGCATTCCATGCAACCAAGCTCACGATGGCTAACTGGGGCCCCTAGTTTCCTTCCTAAGGGTGGGTGAACTTAAGGACGAGTGGTAGCTCATCTTTCTGTCACTTCATCCCAGGGTAAGGTCCTCACACCAGCGCACACTTGCTGGCCTTCCTCACTGAACACTGCCCTGTGTGGATGGAAAGCAGGGCTCACTACAGTTAGTTCCTAAGCACCTAGAGCACATGCAGGGGTGAGACTCCACTCTTCTGATACCTGGACCCAAACTGGACACAAGAAAAATCATCACCACCACCACCACCTTCATCATCATCATCATCATCATCACCATCATCATCATCTTCTTCTCCATCTTCTTCATCACTACTGTCCCCAGAGAGTGCGAGGAAGAGGAAGGAGAAAGGATTGTCGTACATACTACCACAACAAAAGCAAAAAAGGTCATCAGGGAACAAAGGAAACGAGAGGGAGAGAGACGCTGCTGCATCGCTGTCATTTAAAATAAGCCTTACACTTAAGCTGTACTGACATGCAGAGACACAAGTCCCTGAATTACAGAAACAGGCGAGTACATTTGAGAAAGGGAGGGTCACGGACTCAGGGCTGCTGCTGCTGCTGCTGCTTTCTGAGAGACTGAAATTGCATGCAATCAGACGTCAAGGCATAAAGGCATGCCTCACAGAAAGAGCAGACACTGCCCCAGTCCAAAAAGTCATCCTGTGAGCCCCAGTTCTCAAATGCAACACTGACCACAGTCTCTGAGGTTCATTTATAATGAGGGACCCATGAGCTAGGTTGCCAAAAATGCAATTCTTTGGTTTTTCTGCAGATGACAGGAAGTGTGATGATAAGGAAGGGAAGACAGGAGCGCACAACACTGCGATCTTCACTTTCTAGTGGATAAAACCCTGGTAGGTCACGGAAGCAGGGCACACGCCCACCAGAGAGCTAACGAGCAACACAGGTTAAGACCCAATGACTCCCAGAATTCAACTGAGGTCAGTGTCACACAGCAGTTCTTTTCAAACAGTGTTAATTTTCTTTCCCTGCACTGCAAACACACACGCAGCTCTCCTACAAATAAATACCTAGGAGAGATCCGCAGGGAGGAGGGACGTCTGCTGGCAGCACTGGGCGAGGCGGGTGGGAAGGCGGGGCCCCTGCTGCGGGGCCTCTGTCTGGAGGAGCTGGCAGGTACTGCTCGGGGACTACTTGGGCGGGCAGGGAAGCCTGGGGAGTTAGCCAGAATGGAGGACCGTGGGGTGGGGCAAGTCGAAGACCCCCATGGGTGTGTGACAGTATAGGGCCTATACCTTGGGGATGTGGGCTGGCTTCCAGCCACAGCTCCAGAAGCTACAGTGTAAGGGCTGAGGGATGTGGAAGGTACAATGACCTGAGGGGCTGTAGAAGGCACAGTCCACTCGGGGACTGCACTGTGAGGGCTGAGTGCTGAGGACACAGCCTGCTCGGAGACTGCGCTGTGAGGGCTGAGGGATGTGGAAGGCACAGCCCACTGGGGGGCAGCGCTGTGAGGGCTGAGGGCTGAGGACACAGCCCGCTGGGGGGCTGTACTCTGAGGGCTGAGGGCTGAGGACACAGCCCCCTGGGGAGCTGCGTGGGAAGGTGAGGCAAAGGATGGATTCAGCACGGGCACAAAGCTCCAGAACCTGGCAGAAGGAGCAGGGCTAGTGTCATAAAGGCTAAATTAGTTGAAAAAGGGAGGAAAGAAGAGAAAAATCAAAGAAAAACTTGAGATAACTAAAAATGGATAATGTCAGATTTAAAGGGTAATACAATCATATTACAAATTCTAAAAGATTAAGTAGGTAAGCATTTCAAAAAGGGCCAGAATCTAATTGTTCCATTCATATGGAGGTGTCATGACCCCTTTCAAAGATTAACATAGCTCACAGTCATGTGTGTCTAAGATTTAACCTGCCAACAACGTACCCACAGAAGGCTAAGAAATTCAGTCAAGAAAGGGTAACACCACCTCCAATGATCACAGCCACCCTCTCCCCTCATACAAAAGACACCATAATGTCGATGACACAGATCAGCCCTGTGGAGTGGCACTCCTGAACACTGTTTCACTACGAGAGAGATGTGCAAAGAGGATCACACTTACCTAGACAACGAGCCGGCACTGAAGGAGCCCAAGTTGCAGAACATGGGGCTTGTTCCTGAACTGGAGCCGGGGTTCAGCGCGAGACTTCTGTCAGGTGAGCGAGCTGCCGTGGCAATGGGCTGGGACGTGGCCGTCAGACTCGCAAATGGGTTTTCATCTCGCGTCTGAGTGGACATCATCAGCACTTCCATGAGAATCTGACCAATCAGATCCTTAAAATCAGAGAACACTGCTGGGAAGACAGAGGGAAAGCAGGTTACTCATGGATCTTCATTTACACAGTCCTCTAGTAAGCCAAACAGAACCAGAGTAAGTCTGCCTGATACCCTGAATAGGATTCTCAACAGTAAAAGGATATTAGCTGAAAACCCAAAAATTGTCCGGGTGTTCTTCCCAGGAACTTTTCTTTTAAAATTATTTCCCATTTATTCGTGTCTGGGTGTGTCTGTGCACATGTGTGCCCATGTTTGTGTCAGAGGACAACTTTCAGAAGGTCTTTCCATCCACCATGTGAGCTCTGGAGAAAGCACTCAGGCCATCGGGCTTAGGGGTACAGATCTCTATCTACCCACGGAGCCTTCTTGTCGGTTCAGTCCATAGTCATTTCCAAGTCTGGGCAAACATACCATAACTGTATAAAGGAAACACTGGAGGAAACTGAGCAAAGCTTGTGCAGAAGCTCCTTGTGCTCTCTTTTTTCTCTATCCAAAAATTAAATTTTATTTGAACCAAGTTAAGAGTTCAGTCAGGGAGCTACGCTGATAGTTATTTACTGTAAAAACTAACCAGTCCCTTCTAGAATTGCCCTTGCCATACTACGACAAATAGCAAGGCTAGTGCCTCTTGGACAGCACACACTTCACAGCAAGTCAGTACAAGCTCCAAAGGCTCTAGGAAGGGCTCCACACTCAGTCACCATCTGGTTTCTGGAGCAGCTTCCAGCTTCTTTCTTGTTCTTCACAGCTGTTGATCTTGAGATACATTAACTAAAGCCCTGTTCCATGTCCATTTCACCTAGATCGTTAACGATTAGCATTGATGTGTACAAGGAAGTCATGGGACCCTTACAGCCCAAGAGTGAGAGCATGGCGTGGCAAGTCTTTAAAACCTATAGCCACTCGGCTTTTCCCAGCCAGAGTTACTAACATGAGAAACCTACCCACCTTCCAGGGACACAGGGCTTCCAGGTCCCCCAGAAGACAGGCAGGATGGTAAGGGAACAGTAACCACGCTAACAGTGATGGTCTTGGTGGAAACGTAACGATTGAGCACTCTTTCACACAAAACACCTTCCTAAAGATGGGTATCAATGAGTAAAAAGGCAAACGATCACACAGTCTAGACAGCTGTGTTCCAGTGATGTGCAAAGTCAGCACATGTCTACCTCTCCTCTCTGCAAGGGGTTCAACAGCGAGCCACAGCGCCAATAACACAGCATCCCGCAAATACTTTTAAGTATAGTTCAACACAGCTAACCTCTTAAATAGAATCCTAGGAAGACAACAAATTGTAACTATATCCTATTTTGCTAAGTAATTCCACTTGGCTATCTACACATCACTTGGTAAGCACTGAGAGCTTAAAATGGCAAGTGACCTATAATAAGAGCTCTCCTCAACTATGCCTGAGGTCAGGATGCTACAGATGCAGCTGGTGATTGTCTGAGTCCCAAGGCCACCCAAGACAGTGAAAACCATTCATATACATACATACATACATACGTATACATAGTTTCCTTCTGTAGAAATCACATATGGGGATGGGGAGATAATTCGGCAGTCAGTTTGCCACTCTTCAAGAGGGCCCGACTTTGTTCCCCACACCCACACAGGGTGCCTCATAAGAATCTTTAACTCCACCAGGGGACGGACATGATGTACAATACACATGAACATAAACATAAATAACAACAAATTTAGCAATAAGATCGGTGGAAACAGAAGAAAGTGAGCATACAGCTGTGTCCCCAGCAGAAGCAGCGCCCCACACGCACGCACAACACACACACACACACACACACACTGCACGCACACACTGCACAAGGACAGAGACCCGCTGACCCTCACATCCCTCACAAATGCAGGTGCCCTGAGAAAACACCCCCGACAAAGAGCCCACCTTCTTTTGGGTTCTCTTTAAACTGTGCAGAAAGAGAAGAAAGGAAGATGACGTCTCTGTCCCGGTCCTTCCAGGAGACACGGAAGATCTTACAGACCAGCTGTAAGGCCTGCTCTTCAGACACTTCAGGACCTGAAGAAGGCTCCTAGTGGGAAGATTGGAGAGTTAATCTGCAGAAGGACAAAGGGCTGAAGACATTTGTTCCAATTTAACTCATTTATTAGCATGCTGGGTGGCACATGTCTGGAAGCAGAGGCAGACGGATCACCATGAACACAAGGCCAGCCCGTCTCCACAAAACAAGCTTCAAGCCATCCAGAGTCACACGTAAGATTTTGTGGGCTGGGGACCTCAGTTACAAAATCAAGGTCTCACTAAGCTGTGGTCATCATTCATGGGAGAACATGTCTGAACAAAGTCATTATGAGGAATCAGCAGGAAAAATGAGGCACAGGATGTGCCTACATCATCTGCCTGCTGTGTGAGCACTGAAGACCAGCTTAGTGCCCGTATGTAGTCACGTTCCTTGAAGGATGTTTACAAATGTTAGCGTGTCTCACTAGCTTTCATGACAGGAGTACTATCTCATGTAAAACCATAAAGAAATACATGAATAGAGACTGCAACACAAGGAGGCTATGGTCTAACTAACAACCATCATGATGTCACCAGAGTGGTTCTGTGAACTTCCTGAACAGAATTTGGTGTACTAACCTATGCCACACATGACACCCACATCCACACCCAAAAGAAGAACCAAAGCTCGGGTGAAAACAGATAGAATGACTGCATCAAGTTTGTACTTGTTTAATTCAGAATATAGCCAAAGATATAATGATCTGCTGTCTCCGTAAAGGCCCACAAAAATTAAATTTCACTGACAAAAAATATGGACAGTCGTGGTGGCACGTCTTTAATCCCCACAACAAACAAACAGACAGACAGCCCAGGATGACCAGGGCTATACAGCAAAATTCTACCTCAAAAAAACCCAAACAAAACAAGAAGCATGGATCCAAGCCGAGCAGAATGGCGGGATTTTACTGTATGAAAGGGCTGCATTACGTTGCCTCTAAGAAGAAAGACCAAAGCTGGGATGGAGGTGGGCGTCTTTAAGGTGCAGACACGTGAACTGACAGTCCCATGTCAGCTTGGACTATGTGGTTACAACTTTGGGGACACAGAGGGGGCGAGGATAACGATTCCTCAAAAGGAAAACACTACCCATACAGACACATGCCACCTAGCAGTCTGCAGATAGCAGCCGGGGAACAGAGCACGGCAGTGTCCTCTTTACTAACCTTGTCACTCAGGCTCCTTTTCTCTCTTCGGTCGTTCTCATCCACTTCCATATTTTCAATTCCCGAATCCACGTCCACCTGGGACATGCTTTAAGTACAAAGGACAAACAAGGCTTTCATCTTTTCTAAAACTCCCAGTTTCAAAGCTGTGACGAACTTTAAACTATCAATTAACATTTGTCAGGAAAGAAAAATCACATTGCTTCCCCTTCTCATCCTGCAAATCTAAGAGCCCCTCATGGACTGGCATAGAAGCATCCACTGTATGTGCTGGAACTGTTTTTTTCCCAAGGTATTGTTTCCTTGGGCTCACTTTCAAAAACTAAGGTATCAGCAGAGTGGATTTTCAGGAACGCTATTTTTATACAATGCATGCTGCAAGCACAGCCTGCTTACATTAAGTGATTGTCCAGCACCATGTACTAAATCACACAGCACTTTCACATTGACAAGAATGCTCTTTTATCATGCGTCTCATTTTCACAAATATGTGGTATTTGGGGTACTACTCGATCTGCCCCATAGACAGCCATTCTGTCTCAATAACTAAACCATCTCAACACGTCTTGCTTTGAAGCCCCCATGCCTTGCTCTAGCTCTGAATACATACAAATTTCCACTATGATTTCCCCTTGACAGGTATTTCAGTTTTCAAATGAGGGTAATTTATTAAGTTCTATGCTAATTTTCTGGATTAATATACAAGTCAAAACCCATGACCCTTGTGTGTCTGACTCTTAACTTTCTGCCTGGTGAAACATAAAGTTCAATGCTGTCCAATCAGATGAAGCTCACTAGCTGTGTTGCTTAATGGACGCTTACTCTCGTTCATTCTCTCCTTGATCTATTTCTGGCTAAAAGAGGCATGTGTGACGCCCTTTAGGATGGTTGTATAAATGGCAATTGCTTCCTAGCAACCCCCTAAGCGCTTACTGACATTGTCTTACTAAGTGTGCCCATATTGGGACTGTCACAGCTGCTGCTAAACTCATAATTACAGAATGCTTCCTTCTAGTCACTGAATTGGGTTACAAGACAGTCCGTGGTTTTCCTTTACCTCCAAAAGTTTCAGAGGTGTGCAAGTCACAAGCTTGAACTACATGCTGGTGAGCAGCATGGTGAAAGCCTGTACCTGCTCCAATGTGCCCAGAAGTACAGTGTATGCTATGGCTCATCAGTCATTTGGTAGCTTGGTAACCAAGCTCATAGTCAAGGTGCTGCCACACTTGTCTTCAAGTGACTCACACTTTACTCAGCACTGGCCCCAAAGGCAAGAGTGGTGACATTACGGGAGCACCCGGGCATAGGACATGGCAACAAAGACAGCCCTGCCTCTACATGGAGGGCTGCGGAGGGAGACCCTGTCTCAACAAGCTCACCTGCTTGCTATGGCTTTCCAACATTTCAAAGCCATCTAATCTTTTTGTGTCTGTTTCTCACACTGGTGTCATTGTTTACACACTGAGATTTGTTCACATGTAACATGTTTATCATGAAGCCCTTCCGCTTAACCACCCATACCTTATGTCTCCTAGAAGACTCAAGTTTTGTAGAATGGTGCCACCTGCTTATAGCTGCTGAGCCATCTCTCTAGCTCATAAAAGACACATGACACAGACAACTATATAAGGAATATTTCATTCAGAACAGAAAAACTTCAAGTGAAGAATGGAATTTGGATTCGGTTTGATAAGGACATGGGTCATTGTGTTGTCATTTCAGTCATTTCAGACTACTAGAGACTAAAGAGTGCGGCTTCTCCTTCCTCTAAGTAAAGGAGCAATAATGGTGGTATCAAGTCACCTTTTCTCACAGGAGACACCATCGATATCCATGCTCTGGGAACGGGAGAGGGACTGAGACTGTGTCTCAAGGCTGTTGGACGGCGAGCTGCTGAGAGAGCTGACTCCTTCGCTGCTCTGGCTCCGATGGGCAACTCCTACACAGGAGAGGTGAGACAGAGAAAGACCCACGTCACGATGCTAGCCCAAGAGTAAAGGCAACAGCAAAATACACACCCTGATGATGCTTAGCAACAAGTATTCCTGTCTGATGACCCTGGAAGTGTCACCAGGAGATCATGATCCATCATCGTGCATCAGGTACGGTCAGTCATGGCACCACACCGGATGCCTGGAATGACTCAGCAGTTCTGACTGCGCCCTCAACAAACTGACAGCACAGCAAAGTTTTAGTGCGGGAGGGAGGGAGGGAGGGAGGGAGGGAGGGAGGGAGGGAGGGAGGGAGGGAGGGAGGGAGGGAGGGAGCCCATTCATGTGTGCTGCCTGGAGGTCAGAGGACGGAACGCAGGTGTCCCCAGTCAGCCATCTCACCGATCCAATAGTACAGAAAAATCCTGAAATGCACTGGAAAGAAGATACATTAATAGACTGACTCGCAAAAAAGCCAGCAACAAATATCAATGGCAGAATCCAGATGGTGTGGGTGCATGTGTTTGTGGCCAGTCTTTTGACTTCAAGACAAAACTAAAACTCCCCAGCATGCTGAAAATGCAGCTTGGGTTCACTGTTCCATCTTGACAGTACGGTTCCAATCATTTTTTATTTTGGTTTTTGAAGACTGGGTTTCTCTGTGTAGCAGCCCTGGCTGTCCTGGAACTCACTCTGTAGACCAGGCTGGCACCTGTCTCTGCCTCCCAAGTGCCGGTATTAAAGGCGTGCGCCACCAACAACTGGCATAACTCATGATCCTCCTGCCTCTGCCTCCTTTAGAGAATCCTACCGGCAAGCTCCACCGCAACCAGCTCCCCCATTATGGATGGAATATGCTAGAGAAAATAAAGAGTTGACACCGCACTTGTCCCCACAGAGCTTATGGTGGTATGAAACCAGCATAGGGTCAGAGGGACAGAGGGACAGACTACTTCTCAGAGAACTTTGCTCATCACTGTCTTAAAAATTATGTTTGTTATATAACTTTAAAAATCACCTTAGCCATGTGTGGTGGTGCACGCCTCTAATCCCAGCACTAGGGAGGCAGAAGCAGGAGAATCTCTGAGTTTGAGGCCATTGTGTCTATAGAGTGAGTTCCAGGACAGCCAAGACTACACAGAGAAACAGGCACTGTTCCAAAACCAAAAAAAAAAAAAGCAAAGGACTCGAAAATGTTGTTAAGCAAGCATTTACAGTACTTACCACTGGAACACTTAGCCAGTGGGGGCGAGCATGAGAGAGCCATCTTAGTGCCCTAAGAAAGAGGCCATCTCCAGTGTCCCATCACAAAACCTCACTCACTCCTCGACGTAACTTGAAACTCATACCAACTCATTAAAACTAGTGCAAGATTCACAAAAGACATGAGAAACCATTCACTGTTCCTAACAAGACCCAAGTAAAATACACAATGACGCCTCCAAAAAAAAAAAAACAAAAAATGTTTTCTAACCTACACACACACACACACACACACACACACACACACACACACACACACACACACACCACAAATAAATAAATGGAGGGATGAATAAATACCAGGAACTGACAAAAGGAATCACAAAACCTTTAACAACAAGCAACTAAAAAGTAATTTAGACTTGGGAGGCAGAGGTAGATAAATCTGAGTTCAAGTCTAGTCCGGTCTATAGAGCGAGTTCCAGGACAGCCAGGGCTACACAGAGAAACCCTGTCTGGAAAATCTTTACAAGGGGAGGGGGCTGTCTAGCAGATAGGGGACGGACTGAACAGATGGCCCAGTGGTTAAGAGCTCGTCTAGGGGACCAGAGTTTGATTCTTAGCACCTACATGGAAGCTCACAACCCCCAGCTACTCCAGTTCCAGAAGATGTGATGCCCTCTTCTGGCCTCCACAGCCACCAGACATCTATGACACGCATGCAAATTACACACACACTCACACACATAAAATAATAGAGTATTTTTGTAAAAGAAGACAGGGACATGGGTTGATCTTAAAATCGAGATCTCTGAAGCCACGGGTGGTGGTGCCTGCTGTAATCCTAGCACTCAGGAGGCAGAGGCAAGAGTGTCTAGAGCAGAAAAGGTTAGGTGTGATTCCCACTTGGGATCCCATGGATAGAAAATGGGACTCAGTGACAGTCAGGTGGCTCTCTGGAAGCTGCCTGGCCACTTGGCAAAGTTTTAGGTCAATGAAGCCTATCTTAAAGCAACAGGAAGGTCCCTAAAAATGACATCTGAGTTTATCCTCTTACCATCACACAGATGCGTATGTGTGCTGTGTACGCACACACACGCACGCAAGCACAAGCACACGTGCACACAGATGCACACAGGCTTTGAGAGATACTTTCTAACATTATGGATACAGCATCAAGCAGATGATTTTCATGAACTCTGTAATTTCTCATTTAAGTTTAGTGTGTCACTTTATTATCTGTACAATGATGGGATTAATGGAGAAAGATCACTAGCCCCTCTAGTTCCAGTAAAATTAAAAATGTCCTCTTCTGGTATTTGTGAGTCTGTACACTTGTGTGTATGCACATATAAAAGAAAGATTTCTCCAGGAATTCCTGTGTTCAGTATTGCTCCTTGGCCCTTACAACACCTGCAGGCAAGGTAAGGGAAAGACAGCAGCGCCATGCACAGCTAGTGCCAGACCAGTCTGGGGAGGCTGTCACCGCAGAGATGGCAGGACCATGGAGACAACTAGCATAGACATGCCTGTCACTTACAAGAAATTGACACCTGCTCTGGATTCTCAGGAGGATTGTTGATGTGGCCCCAAAAACAAGTGTGCATGCTAAAAAGAAAGGTTCCAACCAGGAGGAGGCGCTCCAGGGTCTGGGGTTCCACTGCAGCCCTCGGGCCTGGGGGCTTTGTTTGGCCGGGTCTCTGCCTCTAGCCAGATACACCTTTGTTTGCAATCTCATTTTCTCAGACAGATCTCAGTACACACCCTCCATTGCCCAGAGCCTCCGCCTCCGGCTCAGGCCCCCAGGTTTACAGGCATAAAACCATGCCCAGCTATTTGATTTTATTATTTGTTTGTTTTAACTGTTTCTATTAGCAGATGGAACCCAGGACCTCCCAGATGCAAAAGCTTTTTCACTAGTTGCATGACCAGCTGCATGCCAGCTTCTACACCACATACAAAACATTCCCTCTCCCAAGTCTGAACCAAGAATAAAAGGAAAAGGATTTTAATATAAGCAACTGGTAACTGAACAAAAGATTACAACTCTGCTGTCGCTTAGACAAAAGCAATGTGCTTCAAAAGAATAGCTTCCGCTTAATTGAAATTCCTAAAACGCACAACTACCATTGTTGGTGACCTTCATAAAAAAACTCAAACTAGAAGGAAACAAGATGGACTTCTCTGTCCCTTGCATCAATCACCCAGCCCATATTGACCTAGAATTCTGCCTCTGGTTTTCTCTCAAAGATCAGTAAGGCCTGTCTACAGCCTTGCTCCCTGACGTCATTCAGGCCTCAGCTGACCACACCTCATCAATTACTGAGGCTTAAAGCTGACTAACACTAGAGCAGACACATTCTCTCCGGCGGTCTCCTCAACATTTACTCCAACACCCTATCTCCCAATAAACTATAAGCACTGAGCTTAGAACTGATCCTAGGGTGTGGCATGATTTAAATAAATGTTAAGTGGGGGCTGCATGAGTTTACAGCATTTGGCACATCACTAACAGCCTAGAGACACTAAAGCGTAAGGTAAAACATAACAAGAGAATTCAGGGGAGTGAGAATAACACCTGTAAAGAATATACAAGGATTATCCGATTTTCTAAGTTAACAATGCTCTTTTCTTTGTTTAAGGCCAGCTTTGTGGTTGGGCAGGGTAGCATATGTAGCATTGGGAATGCAGAGGCAGAAGGATATCTGTGAATTTGAGACCATCCTAGTGTAGAGAAATCAGGCCTACCAGGGCTACAAACTGAGACCCTGTCTTACAAAAAAACAAGGTAACTGAGCATGTGCCCGCGCGCGTGCGTGTGCGCCTGTGTGTATGAGAGAGAGAGAGAGAGAGAGAGAGAGAGAGAGAGAGAGAGAGAGAGAGAGAGAGAGAGAGAGAGAGAGAGAGAGAGAGAAAGAGAGAGAAAGAGAGAGAGAGCGCGCGATATGAAATTAAAGGAGGGGGGCACAACACTGAGACTAGAAATTAAATCCAGGGCCTTGCACATTGATAGGCAAGGGTTCTCTCAGCTATACCCTTAGCCCAGGGGCAGAATTAAAAACATATACAGTCCTAATTAGAGACTCTGTCTCAAAACACAAGGTGGAGGACCTGGGGAATGAGACCTCAGACTGACTTTTGGCCTACACACCAGTGCGCACACAGTAACCACTGGCAGTGACAGTCTCCCAAATGCACGCGTGTTATGAGACTCAAAAGCAGTGTCGTGTAACTTTTAGTCTTTCACATCAAACCCCATTCAAGGTGTGGCCAGAGAGACATGAGGGAGACGCACCCACACACTCACACCTTAACAAAATCCAGAAGTCTCTGAAAACCATGTCCTTGTTAAAAGGCCACGGCAACCTTTTCATGAGGACAGTTGCCTAGCAACCACCGCCGTTAGCCTTTGACTGAGGTCTCCCTCTTTATTGATCCTGGTGGCCAATGATAACTCTAAGCAACTTAAATAACCTTGACTTTACCTGTGAAATGGTCTTCCTTTGCCTCCTCAGACATGAGCACGCTGCCCACAGCACACATGCCCCTTTCACCCTTCTGTCCATTTCCAGTGAATTCACTTCCTCGGAGGGCTTTTTCTCCATTGTTAGGTTAAAACAGCAGCAAAGTGAATACTGTACAAAGTCATAACTTTAAGGTTCACGGTGGTGAGAGACAGGCAGAGTATCAGGACCTCCACAGAGGGGTTCACAGGTATTGGTTATGTTTCCATATCTATCTGAAGTATTTTGTCCTTTTTTAATTTCAGAAGGAAACGCATAGTACAGAGATAAATTTCTCTGCAGGAGAAACAGCAAGGTAGACTGGCTGGCTACAGGGAAAGGAGGGACCTGCATAAAATTCACCTCTTCTACTTCTAACACTGTCAACAAAACCATTGCGGCCACCCCACCCCTGCAGCCTGCTGTAACTTGTGGCTTCTGACAGAGAAGCAGTGTGCTAGCATCGGGCTTGGGACGGGGGATAAACAACATGACGAAGGGCTCTCTTGTAGAGGTCCTGGTCTACTTCCCAGCACCCATGTCAGGAAACTTACAATCATCTGTAACTCCAGTGCCAATGCCCTACTCTGGCCTCTGAGGACACCTGCACACATGTGCACACATTCACACATAGACACAAACACAGATTTAAAATAAAATAAATCTAGTCCCAGCACTCAGGAGACAGAGGCAGGATCACTGTACATTCAAGGCCAGCATGGTCTACACTTTTAGGTCTCACACCACATAGTCCATAATCCTCCTGCCTCAGTGCTTTAATCAGATGAGCCATGTTGCTGGCCCCTAAGTTTTCTTCTTTGTGTGTGTGTGTGTGTGTGTGTGTGTGTGTGTGTGTGTGTGTGTGTGTGTGTGTGTGTGTGTTTTCTTTTTGGGTTTTTTGAGACAAGGTTCTCTGTATAGTCCTAGCTGCCCTGGAACTCACTCTGTAGACCAGGCTGGCCTTGAACTCAGAGATCCTCCTGCCTCTGCCTCCTGAGTGCTGGGATTAAAGGCGTGCGCCACCACACCTGGCAATTCTTCATTTTTAAAATAACAACTGTCATAATTTCTGGAAATTTCTTTAAGCTACACAAGCCCATGTTGTTCTAGTCATTTTCTCTTGGTAATTCCTGCACTAATTCACCACATCTTAAATTCTATGCCAGGCTCTAGTGACAGCACTGGGGACACAGGCTCAAGTTCAAGGAGCACAACTTCCTGACCCAGAGTGTCTCCATGCCATCGTGGGAGGCAGACATGACAGGGCACACAGCCAGACATGGTCCCGTGGGTGTGGAAAACCACCACTAAGGAGGTAAAAGCAGGTGGATCCCAAGATTAAGGCCAGCATGGGCCCTACACAGCAAGACTATGTCTCAAAATTAAAACGAAAACCCAAGATGTACGAGCAGCACTAAGGCAAGAAATGCTGAGAGGAATACAACCTACATTAGAATGCGATTTCAGACAGCAGCCAAGGACAGTTTTCCTGAGAAAGGGACACGAAAATATTTTGTTTTGCTTGGTTTGGGTTTTATTTCTTCTTTTTAAAAACCACCTTCACTGATTTATGGGTGAGGGAGGCTGCCACCGTGGGGGGGGGGGGGGCATGGAGGTGAGTGGGTGTCTGTGATATGGGGGTGGGCTGGGTGTTAGCGTGTGTTGTGTATATGTACTATGTACGTGGAGTGTCTGGTATGTGTGTGTTGTGTGGTGTGTGTGTTGTATGTATGTGGTGTGTCTGGTATGGGTGTGTGGTATGTATGTGGTGTTGTGCAGGGTGTGGGGTGTGTATGTATGTGTGGTATGTGTGGGTGGTGTGTGGGTGTTGGGGGGGTAGGTCAAAGGATAACTTGGTAAGGTATGCTCCCTCCTGGGACCAAGTTCAGGCTGTCAGGCTTGGCAGCCAGCACCTAATTTTGGTTTTCTATGCTTTTGGAACTTATGTCCAGCAAGTGTAGGCCTCAGGTGAGATATGAGGAAATATGACAACTTGATTTTATTATTCTTGTGTAGAGAGAGTCATGCACACCACAGCATGTATAAGGAGGCCAAAGGATCACCCTGCAGAGTCAGTTTTTTCCTTACAATTTTACATGGGTTCTGGAGTTTGATCTCCGGTCATCAAGTTTGCTTAGTAAACACATTCACCAGCTAAGTCATCTTACCACCCCCCTAGACTTGGATGTTAAGGAGCTGGGAATGAGTCACTAAGAGAAGTACTTGCTGTGCATGGGTGAGAACCTGAGTTCAGTTCAGATCTCCAGCACCCACATAAAGCTAGGGGTAGCTGTGCACAGTCGCAATCCCAGTGCACAGGAGACGGAGCAGGGAGGACCTCAGGGTCTTGCGGCCAGGAAATTTAGCCAACTCCCCAAGCTCTGGGTCCAGTAAGAGACTTTGTCATAAAATAAGGTGAGACACTTGATATCCATTTCAGGCCTCCACACACAGGAACAGGCACATATACCTGCACACACAAAACTTAGTTTTAATATTTTAACTGAGACACTGATTAGATGTGAAAGTAGAAGTCAAATGGGTCATAAGAGTCTAAAGCTCAAGATGCAGGTCTCAGCTCGAAATGTAAACTAAGCACTTATCAAGCTGGAAGGAATAATTAAAGTCGGGAAACTAGATGAAATCAATGAGAGAGTACAGATAAAGAGTCCCAAGTGTTTAAACAGTGAACCCTAACATCCTGCCGTGTGGACACTAGGGGAGTGAAAAGGAACCCTGCAAGGAACTGAAAATGGAGAGGATGAGCCGGGCGTTGGTGGTGCATGCCTTTAATCCCAGCACTTGGGAGGCAGAGGCAGGCAGATCTCTGTGAGTTCGAGGCCAGCCTGGTCTACAAGAGCTAGTTCCAGGACAGCCTTCACAGCCACAGAGAAACCCTGTCTTGAAAAACCGAAACCCTGTCTTGAAAGAGACAGAGAGAGACAGAGAGACAGAGAGAGACAGAGAGAGAGAGAGAGAGAGAGAGAGAGAGAGAGAGAGAGAGAGAGAGAGAGAGAGAGAGAGAGAGAGAGAGAGAGAGAAAGAGGGAAAGAGGGAAAGAGGGAAAGAAGGAAAGAAGGAAAGAAGGAAAGAAGGAAAGAAGGAAAGAAGGAAAGAAGGAAAGAAGGAAAGAAGGAAAGAAGGAAAGGGAAAAAAGAAAATGGAGAGGATGGTGACCAGGACATGAGGGTGTTCTAGAAGCTACAAGATGTTTCAGGGGAGAGAGGGTATAAGCGCAAAGGCACAGGAAGAAGGACTTATCCCAGAAGGCTTGCTGCCAGCAGATGGGTGGTGGCTGGAGGGAAATGGGAAGAACGGACATGATCACAGCAACCAGATTGGAAACAAAGACTAAGCTGCTCCTGCTGCATGTGTGTTTTCACCACAAACCGAGTGTGTGCATGGACAATGATGTGTTGCACACTTGGGTGGGGAAGGAGAATAGGGAAACATGGCATAGCTGATGTATTGGGGTCTACTTGAAATTGTGATCATGGATTTTAACTCAGACAGATGGACCACATGGCTGGGTGAGCTCTTCTCCAGCCTTGCTCCAGGGCAGGAGACAGACATCAGGTGGGGAATGGATGTAACTGTGAAGCAACCAGGCAAGAAAAATAAATTCCAGAACTGCAGCTCTGAGCATGTTTCCAAAGACAAACTTACTCCTGGAATCCTGAATGCTTATCAGAGAACTGCCATAGCTGCTCAAATCATGTACCCACACAGTGTTCTTTGCCACCAACTGATGCTTTGGTCTCAATTTCTGTTATCACTAAAAGAATGATAGATGGGCATTTAACCAGGCAGAAAGAAGCCTCCACTGAGGTTTAATGACTTAAGGCCACAGAAACTGCAAATGCTCTCAGGGACAAGGATGACTGGATGGCTACGGCAGAGTACATCCATTCTTATAAACAACACACATGGCTCTCACAGCACCTCTGTACCTTTCCTATAACTATAAAAACAGTAATTACGAGATTACCACGTTTGATAGAAAAGTCACGTAGGAGTCAGGCGTTGGTGGCGCACTCGAGAGGCAGAGGCAGGCAGATCTCTGTGAGATCGAGGCCAGCCTGATCTACAGAACGAGTTCCAGGACAGCCTCCAAAACAATACAGAGAAATCCTGTCTCAAAAAACCAACAAGAAAAGTCATGTAGGAAAAATACTTCAGGTACACATGAGTGGATATCATCAATTCCTAAGACAACCCTGAGCATCACCTATAAGAGTTAAGTCGCTCCCAAGGAGACAGCTACAAATATCATATAGGTAGAGCTGATTCCTGCGGTGCTGGGGATTGAACCCAGGGCCTCACACAGGCTGGGAAGTGCTCTGCCAACCACAGTATCCAATGTAATTCAAAGAAAAAGCTCTGTGTCCAAAGACAAGACATCTGTAACCAGAGGGTCACCATTTGACCACTACTTCTATCTTGATTTGCAGATTTTTTTTTTTTGCTTGCTTGTGTGTAATCATGTGTGCGCGCCCGAGAGCGCATGTGTATGCATGCATAAGTCAAAAGATGATGGTGAAGCCGGGCAGTGGTAGTAGTGCACACCTTTAATCCCAGGACTCGGGAGGCAGGCAGAGGCAGGAGGATCTCCGTGAGTTCCAGGTCAGACTGGTCTACAAAGTGAGTTCCAGGATACTCACGGGGAAAACAAAGAAATCCTGTCCCAGAAAGAACCCAGAGTTGATGGTGGGTGTCTTCCTCTTGTTTTGAGACAGGGCCTTCCTTCCACTGGAATTCACCTACTGGCTAGACCAGCTTGCCGTGAGTCCTAGAAAGTCCCTGTCTCTACCTACTCAGTTGTCAGTTACAGGCACAAGCTCCTGAACACAGCTCTTACGTGGGTACCCAAATTCTGGTCCTCACACTTGTGCAGGAAGCACCTTACCCACCAAGCTCTCTCCGAGCCCCGAGAACCCTGGCAGAACACATGCTTTCAGAAAGAAATAATGGGGGTAAGGGGAGGCATCAACCAAATTCACAAAATCAGCAGAATCAAATTCAGTCTTGGGCAGCTCCAAAGGCAAGGACTGAGCCTGCTGGGAGGAGAGGAGGGGAGACAGGGGTGAAGGGGGGGGAGAGTGGGGGTGGGGGGTATTAGAGGAAGGAGACAGGCTTGCACAAGTCTTCCCCGGCACTATCAAAATGAACAGAAACAGTGAAACACGCTGCAGTGACCTGTAGGCCACTGATTGCTTTCATTTGTGTGGTGACATTAGTGATGACATCAGAAGTACAATTGTTTCCAGGTTAGAGGCTGAGGCTCACCTGCTGCACCTATGGGGGAGGTAGCTGGGGTCATGTTGTGGACATTGAGACCAAGGCTCTGGGAGGGGCCTGGGGCTGATGCAGGTATCGGAGGTCCCGGAGGGTTCTCCCTCTGGGGAGACGTAAGTGGGGTGGTTGGTTGGGAGGTCTGTCCACCAGCAAGTCGTGCCAGGCGCCTCCTGCGAATCTACAAAAGGGAGAGAAAAAGGACACTCTGTAATAACTGGGAGCAGAAACTCAACTACCTGCAAGAACAATGACATCCATATACTAAAAATCATTGATAACCACTTCCAAGCTTAGCAGCCAAATAGTCCTTGAAAAGAACATACTGAGGAATGTTTTATAGAAGTTATCCTAACACAGGCAGTGTGTACTATTAAACCATCAAGGGATTATTGCTAATGAAAGAATGTCACTCTTCCTGCCAATCATATCCCCAACACATGCTATGGGTGACATATCACATTGAATTTCTTTTATCAATTACAAACAAAGGAGCAGTGTACTGTGCTCCTGATAATGTCAGTCATTAAAAGCTACAGGATGTGTATAAAATTATAAGATTGACACATTTAAAACTAATGAGACTTGTGTCTTCCATTTGAAGAAAGTAACAGGAAGATTTATCCCAATGAATTAGATAGCCCCCAAAAAATCAATTTTATTTTGAAGTAGATATTTTCTAAAGAACACAGAACTTAATGATTAACATGTACTGGTACAGTACTTAGAAAAATGATGACCCACTTTAAATCACAAGCAAATAAAAATGTATTAAAAAAAGAATATTCTGAGAAGAAAAACAAGGCAAAGCTAGTGTTCTAGGTTTTGGTTCTCTCTCTCTCTCTCTCTCTCTCTCTCTCTCTCTCTCTCTCTCTCTCTCTCTCTCTCTCTCTCTCTGTGTGTGTGTGTGTGTGTGTGTGTGTGTGTGTGTGTGTGTGTGTGTGTGTGTGTGTGTGTGTGTGTGTGTTGCATGTCCACATATGCATGCACTTGAGCTTGAATCTGAGAAGTCAGAGGCCAATCCCAAATGGTAGGCCTCACCTTCCCCTCCTAACCTGGGCCTCCCTCTGTTGTTCCCCACTGCTCAAGGCATCCTAGCTGCCCTCTGTCCTCCAGGATATCTGTTGGGTCTCAGCCACTCTCCCCCCCTTACCCCCTCGTGTGTGCGTGTGCGCACGCTAATTCAGGACAGGATTTCTGGTGGTTAGATAAAAGCCAGCATTCCTCAGGAACGGACGGATTGGTTTTCAATCCTCAAAAGGAGTCCCTCCCCCAGCTGCTCGGCCTCCTCTCCAGCCTACCTCACTGCTCTCCGGCCATTCTGGCTATCTCCCATCCCCCACTCCCCGCTCTCCCACTTCCCTAGCCCGGCCCACATCCAGAAGGCTTTCTTTTCTCTGCTGGGCTCTCCTCCAGATGCCCTGGGTATTTTCTCTCTCTAATCCACAATAAAGTGCTTCCTCCTAACCTAGCGATCAAACAGGCAGCTTCTTTACTGCACACTCACAACATTTTTTTCTCTGCCCTCTACTCACCACAGGAGCGAGCGCGGGAATAAAAGCACACTACTGCACCTGGCTTTAAGGGTGCTGGGGACCCGAAATCTGGTCCTCAAGCTTGGACAGCCAGGGCTTTCCTCACGGAGCCATGGCCACAGCTCCAAACTAAGAGTCTTGGAAGCTGCGCCCTTACAGTAAAAAAAAACTGTACTTTGATTGCCTGACCAAGGGTATTCTAGCTCCTTGACTGACACTGTAAATTTCCAATATGCCCACTACCCAATACATCAAACCCTGTTATTAACAAAACAGCATCATGTAATAATTGTATAAAGATTAGATTTAGATAAGGGCAGGAGCCATGGCTCAGCAGTTATAGGCACTTTGTTCTTACAGAGGACAAAGGTTGGATTCACAGCATCCGTGGTGGCTCATAACCATTTGTAACTCTAGTTCCAGGGAATTTTAGGTCCCCTTCTAGTCTCTGTGGGGACCAAGCATACATGAAGTATACAAACACATATGCAGGCGAGACACTCATACACAAAATAAAAATAAATCTAAAAGTCCAGTAAGACAGATTTTACTATACACTCCAAGGGCAAAAAGAAAATATAGTCTGTATTCTTCCCTGAATACTCCAGTTACCAAGTGATGGAGAAGAGAGTGGATCCCAGTAACGTTTCCCGTTTCAGTCATTAACTCCCAACTAGGCAGTAAGTTCACATGCACCTCCCACCCTCACCCCCCTCCCACGGGGCAGCTGTTCAGTTGCACAGGCTATGTGTGCTCTGTGGGACCTGTGCTGCTGTGAAACAAGCCAGCCCCTAGGCACACTCCTGCCAGGAACGAGGAGGAGAATAAAAGCTTCAGCTGTGACAAACGGTAACAAGGACAGACTCACTTGAAGCTAGATGTGTGTCATTCTCACATGTCAGGACCCCTGCTCCTTTTATCATTCTTAGACCAAGGAAATATCCTGAGTCCTCTCTGCAAAGCGGAGCAGCTCCTCCTACCTGTGCTGCAGACATGCCTATCGCTTCACCCCTGCAGACGATAAGCCAACCAATCACTTCACCCTAAACCCTAGCATGTCACATGGTAACTACTGATATTTACTTCACTGTATCAAGCCATTTGAAGAAGGGATTAGTAGAGGCTAGAACAGTGGTTCTTGGCATTCCTAATGCTGCTTTAACACCGTTCCCATGTTGTGGTGACCCCAACCATAAATTTTCATTGCCACTTCATAACTGAAATTTCCCTCCTGTTATGAACTGCAATGTAAATATCTGATACGCAGAATATCTGGTATACTACCCCTATGAAAGGGTTGTTCAACTCTCAAAGGGGTTGTAACTCACACACAGGTTGAGAACTACCAGGCTAGGGATCCGGCACAATTGATAAAGTTCTTGCTTGACGAAATATGAGTACCTGCATTCAGATCTCCAACCCCTGGCTCGGCTCCTCCTCCCAAGCTGCAGGAAGAGCCACCCCAACCACCCAGGCTTTATCTAGATGCTGGAGATTAGAGTAGTACTTCACCCACTGAGCAACCTCCCCCAGTCCCAATTTTCCTTTTCCTTTGGTTGCTTGATTAAGGCTGGAACACAGGCCTTCCACATTCTAGGCAAGCAGCCTGCTTCTAGGCTATCAGTCCCAGCTCATGTTGTGATTTACTTTGAAAATTAAGAGATAAAAACTGCATCGTGAAGCTGGGTGGTAGTGACCCACGCCTTTAATCCCAGCAAATCTCTGAGTTCGAGGCCAACCTGGTCTACAACACTATACAGTGAAACACTGTGGGGGAGGGGGGGTGGACGGGCTGCATCTTGAAATGATATCAATGATGGGACTGCAGAGATGGCTCCAAGGTTAAGAATGAGCACCGCTCTTAGAAAGGGCTTCAAGTTAGTTCCCACATTGGATGATTCAAAACTGTCTGGAACTCGGGTCCCAGGGGATGCCTCTCATCTGGCCTCCTCGACACAATTTTAAAATTTTTATTATATATTATATTTTACTATTTTGTGTGTTTTGCCTACATGTCTGTCATTGTACCACTTAGGCCGGTGAGAGCCCTTAGAGGCCAGAAAGGGCAGATCTGCAAAGACTGTAGTTAGTGATGGTTTTAAGCTGCTATGTGGATACTAGAACTGAACCCAAATCCTCTGGGAGAGAACCAGTGATTTTAACCCCTGAGCTATCACTCCAGCCCGAAATAAGAATGTACCTTTTTTTTTTTTTATTTAAAGACATTACTAAAAACACTTTACATTGATATGAATAGTCCCCACTCAAAGTCGCTCTGGTGTCTTGGGTTACATGCTTCATTTGGCTGTTCTCTTAGTGACTCTTGTATATCCTAATTTTCAAGCAGTTATCCTTCTGTGTTGCTATGATCTGTGATTCTGCTTTTGCCTTTACAGCAACCAGTACTTTCAGAGCTTAGCACTGCACCTCATCACCACATGCATCGCCACATGCATACCCTGCAAACTCATCACCACATGCCTGGCCTGCTTTAGGTTTGAATGCTGGCACTACATGTGTTGCACTTGTGACGGCTTCACCAGAGTACTCAAAAGTACTTTGTTTTGGTGTTTTGCGACAGGGCTCTTGTAGTTTAGGATGACCACAAACTCATTATTTAAAGCTGGCCTGAGATTACAAGCAAGGGTCACCATGCTCAGAAGAAAGAAGTGTTACTCTCCGCTCTTGCAGAGGACAAGAATTCCCTTCCCAGCACAGCGCTGTGTGATCTCACAACTGCTCCAGCTCCAGGGCATCTGCTGCCCTCTTGTGGAACCACAGACACCTGCACTCAAGTGCACAAACACAAATACAACCAAAAAAGGATTTTACGTTGGGTGGTAATGGTGCATGCCTTTAATCCTAGCACTAGAGGAAGAGGCAGGAGGCTCTCTGTGAGTTCAAGGTCAGCCTGGTGTACACAGCTACACAAAGAAACCCTGTCTTGAAAGACAGAAGAAAAAAATTTGTAATACTAATAAAACTTTAGAAGTGGGAAGAGCCTCCAGAAAATGGCAATGTAAATGTAAACAAAAGCCACTTAGAAGAAGCCTCAAAGAAACCAGTGGAGGCTAAACCCCAGCAACCTGAAGACTGGCGAGTAAGGACCTGCTTCTGTGGAAAACTTGCGGCTTTCTGCTTTGGATGTAGTAACTGACAATGTCAAGGAAGTACACAGAGGTCAGTAAATCCCTCGGAAACACTGAGACACAAGGGGACCCTTTACTTCTGTGACCACCCTGGGCCAGGCTGAACTTGCTTCAGGGGGTTGCAGCTCTATCTGAAGCCCGGCCTAACAGCCCATCCCTGTGATCCCAAAACACCAGAACTGATGCAGGAGGACTGGTACATACAGTGAGTTTCAGACCAGCCAGGGCTACAGCAAAACATTCAGCAATTGAGATACCGCAGTACGTATGTGACAGTTACAACTGACCATTTCTGTAGGTGTGAACACACAAGTCTGTGTCAGCACTGTCACAATGGGAGTCAGCAATGTGTGTAAAGGCACTGGAGACAGAATAGGACAAACTATTATCCTGCAAACTGGGGGATGAGCTGTCAATCAGGTAGCTGGTGGAGCAACCACTCCAGTTTTTAAGGGTCAACCTTTGCTCATTTTGAGTCTGCCTAAGGTAGTCCAGGC